GGGTTGAGGACATGTAGCCCCCCTCGCGGCGATCCACTCCCTGACCATATCTCCCTTGGGGTTGGGGCGTGCGCGGGGGTCCCAGTCCGGGTGATGAGCGTTGAAATCCCCCACTATAATGAAGGAGTTGGGATCAACCTGGAGGGAGCAGAGAGTGCGCTAAGAGTTGTTAGCGATGTCAAGGTTGGATGTAGATAAACGTTGACTATAGTGACCCCTTGAAGGGAGATAGTGACTAGCCCGTGCTCTGGGGCGGTCGGGGCCAAAGTCGAGAGCCGGCGGTTAACGTAAATCGCAGCTCTAGTAGCTCCATCATCGATGGCGTGAAGGGTGAAGTCCAGGTGACGTCGAACCCTGCCGAAGATGACCGGAGGAGGCTCCTGGATACACACCACCTGATACCGGTGTCTCACCGCCCTTTGGAGGACACCGTCGATGTTGGCCAGGGACCTTTGTACATTGGCTGAGATGACCTTACAGGTCCGACTCATCGTCAGAGTCTAGACTAGTTCTGACGACGATGCAGTCCTCGGTATGCTCCTCCTGCTCAGGCTCCACCCGGGCGGCGGAGCGGGCCTGAGGGGCCGGTTAGTGGGGACTCCGGTGCTCGAGCCGCCGATCGGACCTCTGATCCTGGCTCTAGCCTTTTTGGCGAGCTCTGCGGCTGCCGAGGGGGCTCGGTGCGGGCCCGGAGAAGGGAGCCAGCGGTGGGAGTAGAGCTCTGAGGTTGAGGGGGCTCCGACGCTCTGTCCGCCGGGGCTTGTGGGGCATCGGGGAGGACCTCGTCGCCCATTATTTGTTGGGGTGGGGCCTCCGGAGCTGCCGGGGAGGAGCCTTCCTGATTAGGGCGTTCTGTGGGGGCCGGGGCGGGGGCGAGAGAAGACTGCTTCATCTAGAAGCTCGGTAAGCCGCCTGGCCGGCCTTCCTGACGGTCTTCCCTGGGAGTCCATCAGTTTCATGACCTTGCCCTGCCAGACCTTCGGCTTGGCCGGGCAGTCTAAGTGGCCTGGTTTTGCTGGCTCAAACAGTTTGGGCATTGGGGAAGGGGAGGGTGTTGGTTGTGGTTATGTGCCGGAGCGCCGCACTCGCCGCACTTAGGGGCCGAGCGGCACTTGTCTTTATGGTGGAAGCCGAAGCATCGTTCACATGTGTAGATTCTAACCTGCTCTCATCGGTGGCTTGAAAAGCCGTACCACCTATCTATCCACCGGACACCTGCTGTGTATAATATGTGAATGTTACTATCAAGTGCTGCGTATCGGAGATATAAATGCCAATGGGAGTTTCATTGGTTTGCGCAAGCTTTGCTGGATGGAACTCTTGAGATTACTGGTTGGGACTCCGGGGAAGATTTTGGGTGTGGCCAGTACTTTCTTCAGTCACTGCGTTCAGACTCGTAGGTTGATGTGAGGACTGACGGTTGCCTATTTGGTCGTTCCTTCGGTTAAAAAATCTATACACAGTGCACACAACTTTGAAAGTTTGTAGGTCACTTTCAAATCCAAATTCCGCTTCCCATACTATATCATGCCATCTGCGGTGCTCTCTCTGCCTTTTTACTCTTCCCAACGCCAAATGCCGTAACAGCGGTACCAACAGCATCAGCAACGACAACGGCTCTGGGGGTGGCGACAGCCCCAATAAGCCTAAGTATGATACTTATGCTAACGAGCTAGAGGAGTGGGACGAGTGGGAGAACCACCTGGTTTCCCCGCTTCCACCACGGCCAGCAAGGCCGCCAGATCAACCAGCCCGGGAGCATCCCCAGTTACATTGAGCCGGCCTCAGTCGTCCACCAGCGCCAACCGGGCTGTATAACGTCCTCAGCATCCCCAATGGTCGTGTCAACTTTTGGGCCAAAACGCCCAACTTCAGCCACCAGATCGGCAGTACCTCGTCAGCGTCCACAGCGATGCCAACACTCTGAAGGCTGCGGTCGAGCAGATCCGGCGTCTTGTAACGCCCAGGATATCGTCGTTTGCTGCGATGAACATCAACATTCAACTGGAGTCATCCGGGCCGCTTGCGGCCCAGTAGAGGGAGCCCGCCAACACGCCAATCCGCCGGTGCCGGTCTTCGCTGCAACTCCTGTTGTCACAGCTCTTGTCACTGCTCCTGTTATAGCTCCCGCCGTCTTGGCACTCACGCCTTCCGGTTGGCACCATCTCATATCGGCTTTTTTGTGGCCCTTGCTCTCCCGCCAACCAACAACAGTATTCGAGCGGCAGACAAGGGCAGAACAGTAGGCGGATGTGCCAGCAAGGCCAGCAGACGCAGCAAGCAAGCTTCTTAATGCCCACATCTGCGGTTCTGGTCCGGCCGGTCTGGCTCCTGCTCCAACCCACGCGACTACCCCAACCCCTGCTGCTGCTCCTGCTGCTGCCCTCTTCGTCTCGGCGTCCGCACCTGCGGCTTTTGTCCTGGCTAGTGTGACTCGGCCCTACGACCGCTCCAGCTCCACACTGTCAACAACCAGGGTGTGGGCGGTGTGGCTGAAGACAAAGATGGTAACTAAGCCATCTGTCGTTTGAGCTGTGATGTGACACTGACGCCCAGCTAGGTAATTTCTTGGCTGTGAAATTTGTCGCTGAGAGATCACTCAAAGGGGGAAGTGAAAGTAATGATGCAAGTTTCCCAGGTCATCGCTGTTGTGGAACTTGGTATCCACTATGTGCGCCATGTATATCTTATCTACCTTTGATCTGTGTTGTCGTGAGATAGAGGGGACGGAGAGGCCAACGCTGAGAGAATTATTGGGATGGGTTGGGAAGAGGATGGTTCAGATGAAGGGAGAATAGTAGTGATAATTGAATATGTTGTGCTTCACATTCCGTGTCGTCTCCTCGTTGTCCCTTCGGCGCAATGTCCCTTTGTGTTGCTATCTCTTTCCCGTCCCATTGGACTTTGTGATGCCAACAGCCCGCAAGGGGCTGGTCTTGTTTAAGGTACGTGATTATTCTGATTACTCACGTGACTACCCCGCACTGTAGAGTGGCAGCAATGTTGCCAGGTGGAAGGTTCACGACTGCTGCTGTACCCGATCAATTCTGCCCCTTTGCCTTTTTGAATGCTCAGAATACTGACCCACAGCTGACTCAACTTGTTGCAGTCTGTATAGCTGCATTTCCACATCTTTTCCGGGGACGTTACATGTATTGGTGACAATCCAGGCGTTTAGAACACGACAGCGTCCCACCAAGACACCCCACGGTCTTTTTCCAGAAAATTGCTCCACGCCTGTGGCGTCCATGCGCATGCCAGAAGGCTGGAGGTTTAGTGGTGTGGGCCGCCACACCGCCTCCTGGGGTCAACATCGCTTCCAGCATTGATCAAGGCCGCCTGCTCACAGCGCTCATCGAACCGTCTCCGCGACAGGTCCATTTGCCTATGTCGCGCAATTCACGAGCATGGTTGCCGGCCCTATTGAAGCCGGTATTGCTGGGAGCCACGCCTAGTGATTGGTCGCTACGATCATTGGATGCTTTTGAGCGTCTGGTGTTGACCCGAGTCATGGCCTTGTTCCCAGACCTTGGAGCCTGGCTGCTCAAGCTGCGTGCCATTCGTCGAGAAGCCCTTGCGGGGGATCCTATCTTCGCCATCGAGAAGCTCAGCAGCCTGCCACAGCCCCTCCAGAGCGATGAGGACCGAGATGTGTTGGTCGGCGCTGTTTTGACCCTTGGCACCAGCCTGTATGCCGCACTCGACATGCTGCGCGACCTGTTGCCCCAAGACAAGTCGTGCGATCGCCTGGGCGAGATCCTGTGTCCAACGCTTGGTCAGCTACTGTCCTCCCTCCAGAGTACGCTGTCTTCGTTCGAACAGCACTCGTGCCAGAGCAAAAAGACTCCGACCGATCGCACAGCTCCCAGCTGTTGTCGGTCTCGGAGTCCGCAAAAAGCACCGGCCCCTCTTTCTATCGACCCTGCCCCGCACCCTAGTGGTTCCGAACCATCCGGGTCCTCAACATGCTCCACTTCCCGTCCGGACAGCTCCCAGGCCGAGACACACCACAGAAAGGCAAGCGGCCTGGTCCGAGCCATCCACGCTGAAATGCGTGTGCAGGCCGCCATCCATGTCGCCGTGGAATCACTTGAGTTCGCCGAGCGTCAGCTGAAGCTTGTCAGGGACCTGCACGCCCTTAATGGCAGCAGTACGTCATCCTTCCAAAAGTCCAGCCCAGACCCTCATATTGCCTCGTGCTAATCATGTCGCAGATATGGAAATTATTCAAAAGCACTTCTACGAGGGCTATAACCGTCTCATAATCCGTGCCATGGACCTCGAGCGACGAGAGCTCGGCCCGGTGCCAGACGCTCCTGTCACCCCATCTGGTTCAAGTTTTCTTCCACGTCCACTACTGACCGGTCTGCTCGACCAATCCCCCTTAGATGTGCGCTGCCGGTCTGTCTCCTTCCAGCATCCTCTCTCTGTGCCCAGGCCATCGACAGCTTCCGCAGTTCCACATGCGGGCAGCGATGCCTGGGGTGCGAAGTCATTGATGCGACGCAACACTGTCGAGGGCCTCAACCAAGAAGGTACGAGCCTGCGGTTCATTGCGTGCCTTTAATAGGCTTTTGCTGACAAGTACAGCCTCTCAAACACTGAAGCCGAAACCGTCAGGGCCTAAGCGGCGGCTCTCGCTAGCTGAAGAATTGGCTATGGTTGATGAGGACTCGGACACGTTCCCGGAAGATGAATCTGAATCCGAAGCAGCCCTTGACGACAGCCATCACGACACATGTGACGATTTCCATGTAGAGCAGTCCAGAAGCATAGTGGACGATAATGATAAGCTCCGGCCAATTCATGTACAAGTTTTAGGTCCTGGGTAGATTACCTAATATACCATGACTGTCTTGTTGAAAGTCGAATGCAAACCACTGGCACGATGGTGAGACCACGAATCAGTAGTACTGTGGGAGGATAGAAGCAGGAATGCATGGATGATTGGAAGAATGGAAAAAGGACCTTGAGAGAGAAAGGAAGGGAAGAAAAAATGAAAAAAAAGAAAAGAAGGGAGAGAAGAAGGAATGAGGGGAAGAAGGAATGAGGGGAAGAATGGAAGAAAGGAAGGAAAGGAAGACAAAAAGAAGAGAAGGATTAAGAGAATAGATGGAAGTACGAATGGGGGAAAAATGCATGGAACAACAGGCCAGTCCAGCCAAACCCCAATTAGGGTTAGGGATGCGGGAGGTAAAATTTTTGAGGCATCACCGTAAAGACAACCGACATCCGCCACGCAAAATGGACATCTTCTCTGCTCAAACCAGCAGCTTTCTTAGCTGGTTCCAAGCCCTTCCGGGGGCAACGTTTCACCCAGACATCGCGATTGAGGATCTCCGGGGGCGCAAAGCGGGACGTGGCATTGGTAAGTACGACGAACACAGGCAGCGACGACACAGCGGCAAACTCACAACACAGTTGCCAAAAAGGATATTGCGCCAAACACAGTCCTGTTCACGATCCCACGCGATGCCATTATATGCGCAACAACATCGCCGCTGAAGGAAAAGATCCCGGACGTGTTTGACCTCGACAGGGATGACGATGAGGACGAGGATGGCAGGTCGGCGCAGGACTCGTGGACGCTGCTGATCCTAGTGCTTATGTACGAGCACCTGCAGGGTGAATCATCACGCTGGAAGCCGTACCTGGACGTGCTGCCGTCGTCCTTCGACACACCCATGTTTTGGGCGCCCGATGAGCTGGCCGAGCTGCAGGCGAGCGCGCTCGTGGGCAAGGTAGGCAAGGAGGAGGCCGACCGTATGATCCGAACCAAAGTCGTCAGCGTGATCCGCGAGCACGAGAATGTCTTCTTTCCGCCTGGTACCCGGCGATTGGACGACGAGGAGCTGTTTGCACTGGCCCATCGGATGGGTAGCACCATTATGGCGTATGCGTTCGATCTGGAGAATGACGAGGATGGCGAGGACAACGACGAGGACGACGAGTGGGTGGAGGACCGCGAGGACAAGACAATGCTGGGAATGGTACCGATGGCCGACATGCTCAACGCCGACGCCGTGTTCAACGCACACATCAACCACGGGAAAGATACATTGACAGCGACAGCGCTGAGGACGATCCGGGCGGGCGAAGAGATCCTCAACTTCTACGGGCCGCTCTCGAGCGCCGAGCTGCTGCGCCGGTATGGCTACGTAACGCAAAACCACAGCCGTTACGACGTGGTGGAGCTGCCTTGGGCACTTGTCGAGCAGGAAGTGCGGGCACGAGTCGCAGGCAATATGGCCGACGCCGATTGGGCCAAGGTACGCAGACTGGTCGAATCGGACGACGAATTTGAGGAGGCCTTCGTACTTGAGCGATCAAGCGAGGATCCGGATGCAACAGGACAAGTCAACGGCGAGGCCGTGTTCGAGGGCCTGCCCGACGAGTTGGGCCGACAGTTCCGGGGACTGCTCAAGGCGATTAAGAAGGTGGGCAATGTGGAGATGGCGGTGCAAGCATTGGAGGACAAGGAAATGCGCAAGGGCTTATACTTGCAGTGTGTGTTGAGCGCGCTGCGGGCGCGGGAGCAGCAGTACGCGACCACATTGGAAGAGGACGATAAACTGCTGGATGGTGCATGCGAAGGCAGACGAAGGATGGCCATCTGGGTGAGACGCGGCGAAAAACAATTGTTACGGGAAGCACAATCGTGGATTCGGCGCCAATCGGACGAGGACTGGGCACCTCCTGCCAAAAAGCGCCGATTATAGTGTAGATAGCATCTACATAGCATCGTTGTTGAAGGTGTACACATTTACTCCTACCGTCTAACTGCTGGACGCACTCTCCTCTTTTTTCTTCTTGCGCACCAGGTTCGCGCCAAGAACGTTTACTCGCGGCTGCAGCTGGGCGTCGGACGGCTTAGAATTCATCCTCCGCACGAGTCCTGTCAGATTTGTGATGCCTGCTGCATGGATTTCTGTCTTTTCGGGCGCAGTTGCGCGGCCAATGACCTCGACCTCAGGGGCACCGAGCTCGTGGATCCAGCGACGAGAGCTGCCGAGGGCCTTGTCGAGCGTGGAAAAGTCGAGATGGAGCAGCAGCTCGATGATGCGCTTGTACTCGGCCTCGTCGACGACACGGTCGCCACGGCCCTCAGACGGCCAGTAATAATATGCGGTAAGGGTCGGGCGGTCAAGCAGGCCGTTTCGGAGGACGGTCTTGATGCGCGGCTCGCGGGGCTTTATGGGACCGCTCAACTTCTTTTTTTTCTTTCTCCTGGCCTTATACTTCGCTGCACTACTGGACTCCGGCAATGGCTGGGGCTGTGGATGAACGTCAGCGGAAGCGGCTGAATCAAAGACAAGCCAAATAAAGCCGGTTAAACGGCCGCTGGAGCACTCCTGGCGAAATGCCATCATCTCCCAAAATTGATCCAGTGTCTTGACGCTCTTCCAAGCCCCAATGCTATGTTTTCTGGGCGAGACCTCCTCGTCAAGCTCATCGCGGAAGCGGCTCTTAGGGTCGTCGGGGTAGCCGGGGATCAGACAGCGCGGAGGGACTCGGCCGAAGTCGCGGACATAGCGAGAAATCTTTTCAAGTGGGTGACCGACGGTCCAGTTTACCAGGCTGGACGGTGTGCGGGGCAGAAACGACCGCGTTTCGGTCTCTTCCAGACCAGGCACGATCAAGTATCCCTTTGTGTTTGCCCACTTCTCGCAAGACAAGCCCTCCATGAGGGGATTGAGGACACGACACCACCAACGAACGAGACCCCAGTCATCGAGAACATGCTTACCGGCATTGCGGATGCTGCCGGGAAAGAGATATTGGTCCTGGGCGCGGGCAAAGAGGTTGACGATGGACTGCACATTGGGGCGCTTGCGATGGTCGAGCAGGTAGGCGAGAAAGGTGGCGCAGACTTGGCGGATGGGCGATGGCGCACCCTTGGGCAGGCCGAGCAGATGCAAGTAGCCAGTCGAGTCGGTCTTGGAGACGAACAGGATGGTTTGATAGGCGGTAGTGAAGATGAAGACCTCGATGGCGAAGGCGAGGAGAGGAAGGCGTGGAGGAGGTTGCTTGATGTCGTCGGTGCCGGGCGATGCGCGCTTCAACGAAATGGTAGGAGCGTTGGGATGGATAGAGACGGCGAGAAAGTGACTCTCGCGATACGTCTTGTCAGGTCGCTCGCCTGGTGGGGCTGGACACAGTGGCTCAGTTCGAGTCGGCGGCGTCGAGACGTGGTGAATGCCGAACCGATGGCCCTGCGGCAGCACCGCTGCGAGCCGGTTGCGCAGAGAAGTGTCGTAGGCACCAGGCTTGTTGACTGGCGGATTCGGGCTCGGAGGTGTGGGTGATGCCATGGTTGAGCGATGCTTCAGATTGAAGATGATGCTCGCGGCAGGATGAGTGGAGACAGAGTTGCACCATTGACGCGAGGAAGCCGCGCTGTCACGTTTTGAAAAGAGACGCATTGGCCAATCAGCTCCAGCAGGAAAGGCGGGGTAGCGCACAGATCAGCTTTTGCTCCATTATGCCAAGACATGGCTGACAAGGTCGCCAAGACAACGGCAGAACGCTGGAAGTCGCAGTAAAAAAATCCCGAGGCCGACGACGACGAAGACGCTCTTGGAGTGCTGCCCTGCCCTGCGTCGACGATCCCCTCCGTCGCCTTCCCATATCCCCTGCCATACACGACGCGATGGCGCTCACTCCATCTCGATCGGCCTTTTCGTCGGCCTGGTCGGCGGCGCTGTCCTACAGTGGCCGATCGCAGTGTCTCGCCCGGCTGACCCGTTCCTTTTCCAGCTCTACCCGTTGCAGCAGCAGCAGCAGCAGTAGCGAGACGACCACTGTCGAGGTCCAGGAAGACAAAAGGCCTGAGCGGCCGCGCTGGTCGTACACCCCGGAACGTATGCTCGGCCCCGGCTTCTCCATCAACATCGTCAAGGACCCGTCTCGCAAGATCTGGCACAATAATGACGACCCGGAAAAGCTCGACGCCATGTACAACCGCCTGCTGGGCCCCAACGGCGACAAGATGCTGCCTGAGGAGATCAAGTGGCTGGCCATCACCCACAAGAGTTTTGACCAGGGGAGGAGAGGCTTCAATACCCGGCTGGCCTACTTTGGTGCGTTTGCTCCTCCATCCTTGAGCTTGTGCTCGGTACTGATGAAAAATCTGGTCCAGGACGCCTGATTGTGGCCCTTGAGGCGACACGAAGCATCATGATCACACCGTCCCCGTCGCAGAAAGCGCCCGAAAGGGACCAGTTTGGCCGCATGCCCTTCCAACACCCGGCCCTCGCCAACGTTGACAAACTCAATACCCGTCTGCCGCAGGATATTGTGCAAAAAGACAAGCTGGCCCAGCTCGCAGTCGATGTCGGCCTGCCTGCCGTCGTGCGGTGGAAGCCCAGGATGGTACATCCGGCCCTATTCTGTACTGTTGTACCGAGCTCTGCTAACAAAGTGCCAGCCCGAGGACCTCGAAAGCTCCGGTCTCACTGTCGTCCTCAACACGGCGCTGTACGCCATCGTCGGCGCCATCTCTCTACAACACGGTGCAGAAGTCGCCCACCGCATCGTGCGTGACAAGATTCTCAGGAGGCTGGGCGCATGAGCATAAAGATATACCTGTATAATTCCTGTACCATATTCCGGCATAGAGGCACATGAATTTCACGTCATTCTGATTCTGAGTTGTGAGCTTACAGTTGTGACAGAACTGTTACAGGATTCCAGGTTCTACAAACGTCTATCCAGGAACAAACCATGCGAGAGTTTCCAGATCAAGCTGTGATTCGACAATGAATGATGCCAAGAGCCAACTACCAGACCAAGACTGCAGTGATGCCCCTATCTTCTACGCCTTACCGTCATCTTCATGCCATTATCTAGGTTGTTTGGACGGTCAGCATCAGCAGGCTTCACGCGCTGCAAGCACTTACATCGTACAGTCTGGACTTGGTCCTGTGCTATCCCTTTCGTTCAGCACCAGCTGTCCGTTCTCGTCCAGCTCCAGCTCGCCGAGCCCGACCTTGACAAGGTTGAAACAGCGAGCCACGGCCGGTACAATGACGCGCGTCTCGATGGTTGCCAGAGCCTGGCCAATACAGCTCCGCGGCCCTCGCTCGGATGGGCATCAGGCACCTGCTGGGTATTTGCGATACCCTTCGCCCGTCTCGCTGGTACTTATGTTTCCCGAATCACCAAGCCAACGCTCCAGCACAAAATCGTCAGCCGAGTCACCAAACACGGCTCCGTCTCGCTGGATGATGATCGCACAGTTATACAGGATCATGCAACCATCGCACAGTGTCTGGCTCTCGGGCGTCTGCACGGTAAACCTTAATCCCAGAGGGACCATGCGTGCAGTCCCGGCAAGAGGGTGCAACCGAAGAACTTCCTTGACGACGGCAATCGTGTAGGTCATGCGATGGATCAGTTCTCGCCCTCGAGCGCAAGTAGCTTGTCCCTCACAACGGCCAAGTCTGGATTCTGTCCCAAACACTTCGACGAGCTTGTTACACACTGTCTCAAGCACGCGCGGAGACCGTGACAACTCGTAAAAGGTCCAGGCCAACAAAGATGCCGGTCGTGTCGTGCCTAGCAAAAAGAAACGTCTTTACCTGGTCCCGCGTATAGCGCAGAAGCTCAGGGTGAGTTCTTCATTTCATTGCAGACAAAGGGTCAACACACTGCGCGACTCGCCCAGCCTACTCCCTCCTTGCTGTTTCTGCTCAGCGTGCCTTCGCCGGACGATGGACTCGATCAAGGAGTCGATTTGTCGACGCAAACGATGCTGTTGTCACTCTCGCTTCAGGTTCAGCCATCACGGGGAGTAGTCGTCGAACGCATACTAGTGCAGGAGCTGGTCAAACAGCTTAATCAACTGTCCCTTGCGCGAAGAGTCCGGACGCTGTGCGTCAAAATTGACGTTCATGACAATGGCCCAATGATGTCAAAAGTAAGATTAATGGTGAGCTTGCTCATGAGGAATTCGTCCCCCCGCGCTCACCTACTGGCCCAGCAAATCGGCAAAAATGGCCACCTTATCCAGGACAGCGGGCAAGAGGGTGAGAAGGTGCTGAGGAGCACAGCTGAGGTTGGCACGCTTGCGCATCTGTTTCCATTTCTCGTTCTGCGCTGCCAGGTTAGCTCCTGTGTGCCCCCTGACAACCCTGTTACCAACCTGCTTCAGCAGAATGAGCGTTCGGCAATTACTCTCACCAGGGAGCTTATCGTTGGCGACTTTGGGACGCTCCAGGGGAACAGCTTGGAGATCTTGGAGATCTGCTCGGTCACCTCATAGCTGCCAACCACGAGCATGGGGAACAGAGCTGGGCGGAGATCCACACCATAACGGAGGGGTTGCCCAGATCCTGCATCACTTGCGCAAGTAACTCATCTACCGGCTTTTGTTAGCAGTTCAGTGCCTGCCCAAGGCTCAACAGTCAGGCAACTATGGCACACCCCGACTGATGTACTTATTCAGAGTTCCAAGTTGCTAAGCAACCATGACGGCTTGTGTTGAGGAAAATGCGCGAGATGCTTCAGTCGCCAGTGCCTCCCCATCCTGAGTAGGGAAATTGCCAGTAGCGGCGCAATAACGATAAGGGCCAGTAGCATCATGGCGAGTATTATTTGGCAGACGGCAAAAAGTCCGATGGGTGGTCGGGCTCGCTTCCAGGCTCCCGTCAAGACCCATAACCCCAGGCACTGACGACATAACTCGATTCCAGAGTTTCCATTTTGTTGTTTCATTTCACGGGAACAACGGGCAGCAGCATCGGCATGCGTCCAGCACAGCTACATACCCAGAGTCTTCTGTCGTTGCTACATGCAGTGGCTTGAGCACTTCTCCCCATAAGCCGGTTTGATCAATTAAGGCCATTTTATGGACGCTGTCCCTCGAGCGCATGCAGGTTGTCATCAAAAAAAATCTTCAATTGCAATCAGCTAATGCTATGCCGTAACTCATCCGAGTCAGAATGCATCGAATCGTGATCATGCGAGACGAAAGCAGAAAACCAAATCCCAAAAGCGTGAATAAACCAAACCCAAATGTCCAACCCAAACCCAAATGCGTGCAACCCGATCAAGTCGTCACGCGGTCGTCGTCGTGAGAGCCGAACCGGCCTGGCCAGCCACGGGCGTTGCAAGGGAGCCACTTAAGCCACTTAAGCATGGTTGTAAACGCCGACGTTGCTGGCGCTGTCATGGGGATAAACAGTGCTCTGAGAGACGGTCGATGCGTTGTCCTGGGCATGGACGGCAGGGGTGTACTTGCCACTGCTGCCGCTGAGGCTGTAGTTGCCCTCGTAGCCCGAAACGGAGCTCGGAGGAGGCGCGCTGGTGCCGGCGCTGATGGGGATTTCCCTCATGCGACCGCCATTGACGATAAGCCGGACCCCAGGGGGCACAACGATATTGCCGGTGGGGTTGTTAGAAGGCTTCTGGACGATAAGATCCGGCTGAGAATCGGGGGCCTTCTCCTTGTAGAAGATGACAGACTGGCAGTCCTCGAAAACGAAGTGGCGATACTTGCCAGCGGCTGGAACCTCAAGCCTGTTGGTTCGGACGGCGTCATTGTCGTTGAGCTCGATGGGGTTGTTGGTGTTCCACACCTAGTGGGAGTTAGTCTCAGGCACTGCCTTACAGCTGACATGCTGCATAAACGACCGAGAGGACTTACGAGGCCGTTGAGGTAGGAAGCCATTTTAGCAGATGAATTTGCAGAAAACACGGAAGACTCAGATGGGGTTTCTATGAGATTTGGATCTGCTACTGGTCTTGCTATTTGCTGATGTGGGAAGCTTCGAGTCTGACGGAGCAGGGAGAGACGGCGGATACTTATACACAAGGGACTTGGAGACAAGACGGAAAGACAGTCCAGCAAAGGACGTCTTCATGCCCTAATTCCCAACCTCAGAGATGGCTCGCTCTGTCATGATCCATCACCCATGCCGGTGACTCGCGTCGTTGAGATCGCAAAGGTAGATCACCATGGGCCCATCCAGATGCCAGATCACCAGCACGGGCGCAGGCGGCCCAGGGGCAGGGGGTTGCTGAGCCAATCAAGCTGTGGCAGTCCTAGGCAGCTCGATGAAAGCCGGCAAGTGGCGACCACGTCCAGGGGCCGAGATGGCGAGGACTTTTGGAGCCCAACAACGACCGGACAGGGTCCATCCCTTTCAGGCCTGTGTGACGTGGCGGCTCGCCTCGCCGAATGTGGGCGAATGTCAAGGCTGGCGTCCGCTGGCGTCTCCAACGGCGGCTGCCGCGGTGGACCCAGAGCCACAGCTCTGCAGAGCGCTGCACAGAAGCAGCATCAGGAGTCCAAACCTGGCAGCGGGGCTCGGCAGGGCGGTACGCGATTGGCCGGCGCGGATCGATCCGGGAGCTGGCCCGATGTGGCAATCATAGCTGAAGGAAAGGCCCGGCCATGCTCTCGGCAACGTCGGGCGCTTGGTGACGCAGCGATGCAGATGCAGAAGCGGCAGACTACGATTTATCGTCACGAACACGTATGCGCAAATGTTGTCGTTTGGCGCGCCTGGCGACGGCGACGCGGGAAAACGATGGCCAGTGGATGCGCCGGCAGACGATGTGACGATTCCTAGCACCATGCTCAGCGCTCGACACCGCGTGTGACAAGTCGATATTACTTGGGGTGCTGATGAGGCCATTTCGAGGGGCAAACCATCCACGTCGTGGGACTCGATGGTAGGAGTACTACACGGCCAGCATCATCCTCTCTGTGCCCAACGCTTACCCGCCTGCCATCTAGGATCTAGACTCTAGGAGCGAGAATTTGAGACTCCGTTCAACTCCATGTCAACACTAACAAATTGCTGATGCTCCTCACTGTTCACATGTGACTCTGCGCTTTGCGCATGCTGCTGGCCTTCGTGTTTGCCATCTTGCTCTCGCCACTGCTGCCACTACCCCTCTCGGCCAGGTTCCGCTGGCTGTCGAGGATCAGGTTGACGTGGTGACTAAGCGCGATCAGTTCGCCGCGCTCGTCCAGAATCAGCACCTCGAGGTCCAACCGGCCATTACGGATCTGCCTGGACTGCACCCGGATTTGTAGCCACTCGACGCCGTCCGCCGGCAGCGCCTTTTTTGTCTCAACGTTAAGCACGACCGTGGTGTACCAGAACCGGGCGTCCGGGGCAAACGGCACGAGCTCGCCACGACGCTGCATTTCCTCAGCTAGTTTTGGCCTCGGACGCTGCGCCTCGACGACGTACGGCCAGCAGTCGGCGACGTAGCCGAGTGTCGCATTCGTGAAGCGCTCTCCCGATGCTAAACGCACCCATTTGTCGATGACATACTTGGACGGCTGGCCGCCCCGAGGATCGTAGAACACACAGTTCTTCAAACAGCGAGCATAGCCTAGAGGGGCGCTCTTTGGGAAGCGGAATTGGGCCCAGTGAGGGTCGCGATCCTCGCGCAGCGCAACCAGGTCTGGCCTCCGCGGGGGAGGTATAGGATGTTTCAGCGAGAAGCCAGTCGGAAGCGAGACGCCCTCCTCCTTGGAGAGATCGGTCATGACGAGGTACGCAGCAATCTCCTTGCGCGTCGAACCAGGAGTGATCCATGGCTCTTTGGACAGAAGGCTCCGCTGGTAGAGGGTCGCATGAATAGTCGACAGCTGCCGGCCCAGCTTGACGTCCTCGATCACTATGATAGCCAAACCGGTCTCTGTACGGTTTAGATATTCAAAATGGGCGTTGAGCACATCTTGCTGGCCCCTCGGGGCGAGATGGAGGATGGCTGCTTGGAGGATGCACGATGCCACGTAGCCACCGTTGGGAACTGCAGAACGTGTGTCAGCATTGTCTGTGAGATGGACAGCTCCTCGAGCTCACCAGTCCCAATGCACCAGGAGTCAACCAGGTTGACTCTGTAGACATTGGCTCCAATCTTCTCGACCCGGGTCGCTTCCGCGAAGGGGACAAGCTCGTTGCTGGCCGAAAGATCCATGATGAGTGGTGGGTGTTTTTTTATCACAACAGTCAGCTCAACGTTCGTCTGCTGTTCAACTACGATGTCGAACTAGCGTCAAGTTTCTGGCTTGATGCTGTCGCTATCATCTTCGACGAATACCAACAGGTCAATGCCAAGACCGGATTGACGTCTTGGCGAACGGAACCTCGGCTGCAAGTGGGTGTCGGTATTCAGCCGATCTGCCGCCGCTTCAGGGTGTTCCAGATCTGCCATTTATATCAGATCATTCCACGTGGGATGCGGCAAGCTTCGCCTCACAATTTCTCTTTTGAGAAACTCCACGCTCACTTTTTGTGAGAGTCAGAAGTGCAAAAGCCAAAGAAGAGTTGTATACCACTTGCTGAAATGTGAATAAGTCAAACACCAAAACACCATAAGGATCGTGATCAACCTCGGTATTCGAACAGCTTGTCGGTGCCGCCTGGCTGATTAGTAAACAGCCCTCCATCCGCACAGAGAGCTCAGAAGCCAACCGAGTCAGAGCAATCGGATCCTGACAACCGTAGCAGAATAAATTATTAAGCTTTTCTACCAGCATCAGTTAATGGATCGGCATTGGCACATGAAGTACATGAAAATAGAGCAGGAACCCATGTCAGCTGGAAAAAATGTGGGTTCGGCGGAGCACCGAAACCGGGGGGGTCGTCAACAAAGCCTCCGTTGTCTCTAGAATTTTCAAAATTCAAAAGGGGAGCGTTGTGGGTGACTCCATATTGTAAGGGCGATAGGACGCGAACCATAGACCACCAACACCACACCATGACGTCCAAGCAGCTCGTCGTGGCCGAGTCCCTCTTGACCGGCTTCCAGAAGCTCAGCAGTCAGGTCTACGTGCGGCAAGGAGACCCGGGCTCACCAGATTCCAGTCATCCAACCACGATCATAATCTACGGCTGGGGCGATGCCCGTCCCAAACACGTGGTTAAGTACGTCGACGGCTACCACAGGCTGTATCCTCACGCCTGCATCGTCCTCATCTTTTCGCCCATCCTCAAAACCCTCTACCAGACCCTTGAGTCCCGCTCGCGGACCATGATCCCTGTCATTCAAGCCGTCTACCCGGACGTGCTCGATACCAAGATCGAGAAGAGTCGGGAGCTTAAGCGAGTGCTGCTGCACGTCATGTCCAACACGGGCGGCATGAACTGCGCAGCAACTATGAACGCCTACCACAAGCTGACCGGTGGCCATGTCTTCCCTCACGACATGCTTGTCTGCGACTCGACCCCAGGCAGTACGGCTTTCCTCCCGAACGTCGGTCCCTGGTCTCGCGCCATGACTCTGGGCGCCTCCAGCTGGCTGCCCTGGCCCTTCTTCGTCACCCAGGCCCTGGCAGCTATCTTCCTGGGCTGCCTACACGGCTTTGGCTGGCTGATCGGCGCTACCAGCGCTGCTGAATGGAGCACAAATGCAGTCAACGACCCCAAGATGTCAGACACATCCGCTAAGCGGCTATACCTCTACTCCAAGGAGGACGACATTATCCACTGGGCAGACATCGAGAAGCACGCTGCCGACGCCAGGCAAAAGGGCTGGAGCGTGTCTGCCGAGCTCTTCGAAGGCACGCCTCATGTTGGACACATGCGTGCCCATCCCGAGCAGTACTGGAACGCCATCGCCAAGGCATGGGAAGAGGTTGTGAGCAACAAGATAAGGTCAAAGTGATTGGCCCTGGGACGATGGCTATGTTGTTTCTTGAATTACGTTGGGATTTTTTTAAGATATTCCCTGATCTAATAAATAATTCAACATACCGAGCGGGACCCTCACCTCGCATGCTGTGCTCGCAAACTCGCGCATGCTCGGTATTGACTACCAAACCCAAAATATCTCTCAACCCATGGGAAAATTACAGAGTGCCAGCAGTCTTGAAGTCCTGCAGAAGCGACCCAACCTTCGCCGACATTGTCTTCTCGCCCTCGCGAACCCAGACCTGTGTGCATGGTTAGTGCGGCTTCATGGTGAATGGTCACAGGGGCGACATACTCTCGGGTCGTACTTCTTCTTGTTGGGCTTGTTGGGACCCTCAGGGTTGCCGACCTGGGTCTTGAGGTACTCGATGTTCTTGAGGATGTAGTCGCTGTGCCGTGTCAGCTGCTTGTCACTCAACGAAGATAGCAAAATACATACCGAACACCGCAGAGGTAAGCCCACTGCAGATCGGTGTCAACGTTGACCTTGACGACGCCATACTGTTGCCGTTAGCCGAGCTCCTAGCGATGAGACGGCCAAACTTACGCTAATGGCCTCAAGGTACTCCTCCTTGCTGGAGCCAGAGCCACCGTGGAAGACGAAGAAGACTGCTCACGTTAGCCCGCGGCCAATCTGCATGTTGGACCTCCACATACCAGGCTTCTTGTTGTCAGTGCCGAGCTTCTCGGCGACATAAGCCTGGTGCTTGCTCAGCAGCTCAGGGTGCAGACGGACGTTTCCAGGGGCATAGACGCCGTGAACGTTGCTAAATACATCAGTATTGGCTCGCAAAAGCAGCAAAGATACTTACCCAAAGGCAGCGGCAATCGAGTAGTAGGGGGAGATCGGGCGGAAAGCCTGCTCACTACAGGGTGTCAGTGGCATTAAGAGCGTTGTATAACGAGTAACTCACATCTTCCAGATATCCTCAGGCCTGCAGCTTGTTAGCCTTGTCTCGTTGTATTCAGGAAATGGAAACATACTGAGTGTAGAGAGCAGCATTGTCAACCTGAAAGCATGTCAGTACCACAATAGACAAGGAGGTCCTCAGTACGACCTACGCCAGTGTTGTCTACGCCGTCCTCCTCACCACCCTACAAAAGTTAGCACGTCATCTGCAAATAGCCTTAGGGTGTCCTTACGGTGATGCCAATTTCCATCTCGAGCCACTGCTTCATGGGAGCCATGCGCTTGAGATACTTAACGCAAGTCTCAATATTCTCATCGACGGGCTCCTCTGCAGGGGGTCAGCACGGCCACCTAAGGTTCACAGTGTCCTAACATACCAGACTGCGAGCGTTAGCGTTGAACAATTGCCAACTACAACCACAACATACCAGGTCAATCATGTGAGAAGAGAAGAGAGGAATGCCGTTCTGCTTAAAGAAGCGCTCATCCTCGTCAAGCATGCCATCCAGCCAGGGCAGGAGCTTCTTGGCGCAGTGGTCCGTGTGGACTGGGCCTATTAGCGACCTTTCGACGCAACTCTAGAGAGAAAAACGTACGAACGACGGGGATGCCATAGAGAGGGGCAATAGAGCGGATATAGTGGGCAGCAGCGATGGCGCCAGCAACGGACGCCTCCTGCTTCTCAGCACTATTCTTGATGCCCTTGCCGGCGAAGTAGGCGGCACCACCCTGGCTTGTCTGCAGGCTATCCAACTGTCAACCTCAATCCCTTAATCAAAGCTCGGCCAAATACGCACATGATGGGGGCCTTGGCGTCGCGGGCAGCCTCCAGAGCAGCAACGACGGTGCTGCTGGACGTGACATTGCAAGCCGGGATGGCGAAGCCCTTCTCGCGAGCGTAGGTGAACAGCTTCAGCACATCATCACCTGTCTGGGGGTCAATATCTCGACACGTCCGATGTCGGCAGAAGAGCTCGCACCATAGATAACGCCGGCAGGAAGGTTGAGATCCTGGACGGAATTGCCGTTAGAACGCCATGTCTGCATGAATTGGACGTGTATGGCACAGATGCTTGGGGGCTAAACACCTCAAGAATGCCCATTGTGATAGTGTCGCGTGGCCAATTGGCGTACAAAATCTGGTGGTAGTGGTGGTGGTGATGAGGATGGCGGGGTAGTGCGGGGAACTGCCGGGCGCTGGGTCAGAGCTGTCGCTTGCAACACGAGCGCGACGATGGTACTAGAGAAAAAAGGATGGATGCAAACTCACGATGGATGAGATGAGTCTGCTTCGACTGCTGAGGGATTTGTATGACGCAGCTTTAATCTCGGGTGGGGGGAAGGACAAGACAGGAGAAGTGGGATGATGAAAAGACATGAAATCGAGTGCGGGGTTGGTCAACAGTTGACTGGGCACCCGGGAGTAGCTCTCAACAAAAACGGCAGGGTGTGTGACAAGGCGCAGCGGCGACTACCGCGAAGCTCAGGGCACCGTGGATCTCAAGTGGGGGTGCTGCTGCCACATCTGGCGTATCAAAACACGCGCAAAATGCTGGGCCCCGCGAAATTTACGTCACAGGGCACAGATATCCCCACTGTACAGCTGCAATTAGCCCGATGTCCGTCATGTCGGAACCGCCTGCAGCTGCCAGCATTACCGTGCGCGTAACGCTATCGTATTTACCTCACCATGCAGCCCGCGCCTACGCCGTCGATGGCCTGACAAACCAAAAACGCACAAAGTTAAACCCGCACTCGCCCACGGCTGCCAATCTGTATCTCGACCACAATCATGCTGAGCTGTCAGCGGAGGTGGTGCGCTCGAACTGGAGCTGCCGCGCAGCGGTAAGGCTGCACTGAGGGCGGGGCCACCTTTTGGGAGCGTACGGCTGTCAGCACAACGCCCAAGTGTCAGGAAAATCCGAAGACACCCATCGGAATCACGCTTGGCCCGGGTCGTGGACCGGCACAGGCCGGGCGGCAGCGATTGGTTGGATGCCCATGCTCGAGATCGCGAACGGCAAATCGCCAGGTCGAGATTTCGGAACGAGCCGGCGCAAGCCATGCAAGCCCATGGAGAGACAATGCGAAGTGTCCTCTTGACCTCGGTCCGAGACGCTGCCCTGCCTAGCCTTGCTGGCGTTTGTCGGAAATGTGGGAATCGAAGGATGAATATTGTGATGGCGATAGAACGTCTCAGACCCGACACCTTAAGCTGCCATGACCTGAGATCCCGATCAATAGCAACTAGTTGCAAATGCAAATCGTGATCGCACTCTTGCCAATTGCCAGTCCATTACCGTTCCCCGGCCCTGCGCAACGGCTCGCTCCACAGCATCTAGTCTCAGACCCGATCCTTACCGGGCACAAAGCCGATTGGCATCCCCAGACGCCGTGGACACAAGGGTTTTCCATGTGGCTGGAGCCAAAACTCGTTACCGGCAAGAAGAGTCGTTTGAGACATCGGCAATGGACTAGTCCCTGACTACCATCTTCAAGTTGTCATCTCAAGGACAGTAAAAGGACTCCATATGTCTGGATGTAACAATTAGCAGTTCGGCTGCAACTACTAACAGGCTCTAACTCAGAAAGTTGATGGCGACAATCATCTCCATGGCCGGACAGGAAGTGCATATAACTGTTGGATACTTTCAGCGTAATGACGAAAGGAACGTTTGTCAACCTGCAAGTCACTACCTTTTATAAGTTCGACCGACCCTTGGTGGATCGCGGAACAGCCGGGTTGGGCTCAGCGAATGCCGGTCCAGAGTTCTGACACTCTTCTGTGTCCGTGTCTTGGAAAAGTTGAGGATCTTGTTGTCTTTCCAACGCCAGGAATAAGTCATTTGCATAGTTAAATCGATTAGATCGTGGTTCAGTCCCACGTGATGTAAAAACAGGCTCTGGGATTTCTCTCCTTCAACTTATCATCACAAGATGTTCCTCATCCCCTAGCTCTTCAACCATGGCTCAAACCTCCCTTTTTTATGCGAATCGTCGCCTTGACAGATTGCACCCGGTTCAGGCCATACCACGAATTTTTCGGCCGATCACCACGGATCTCAATGTCATAGTTGAGCAAGATGTGAGCAAGGGTCAGCTTCAGCTCATAAGCAGCAAAGAATCGACCAGGACAAGCATGTCGGCCATGACCAAATGCGATATACTCGATGCTTGTGGTCACAAATGCCCTGGCGGCCCGCTTGACGTACTCAGCGCTCTCATCGCTGCGTTCTTCTGAGAATTGAAAATGCTTGAAGGCTTTCGCATCCGGGTAGATGCTGTCTCCATCAATATCGGGTATCTAGGTACGCCAACAGCGGCACCATAAGGGATTTTTACCCCCGAGGGCGTCACAATACCGTCTTTTGCGATGACAGCGCGATTCAGACCAACCGTCGCAATCGAGTTCAGCCTGGCCGACTCCCGTAACGTGCTGTCGAGCTTGTGCATCTTGGTCAGTGCACGTTTATCTCATTGACCACCGTGTTCAGCCAGGACTTTTTCGATTTCGATCCGCAGATCGTCGATGTACTTCTGCTCGGAGGCTGCCAGCTCCAAAATGGCACTGGTGATGGTCAAGGAGGAGGTATGGATGGCCGAAAAGTTCAACAATAGAACCTTCTCTGCCAGCAGGCTTGCCTTCCATTCCTTTGGGCTTCCAGTAGCCTTGGCATGCTGGATACACCATTGAAGAAAGTCGTTTGGTTCTCTTTCATGGTTGTCTCTGCCACTGCTTCTCCGAGAATCATACTCAACTAAGCGCTTCTCGACCTCGGGCAACAGGAGTTTGACGAATCTTCGAGTGTACAAGCGTATCGGCAGTGTTATCAGCGGGGCAACCAACGGACGCAACGGTCGCCACAAAAAATGAAGGATCAGGGCTGCCGAAGGCACAGCTCTGGCGTAGGCCATGGCTATCTCCAAGAGCTCCTGGTTCCGACATGGGGACTTGCCGATGAAGACTCGATTAGTGGCACTGCCGACGATTTTGCGCATAGTCTCAAACACACAAAATTCGCTGTACTCTCTTGGATAGCCCCAGTGGTGCCTGAACTCTCATAAATCTCATCAGCTAGATCAGAGACAAGGTTGCCGATCTGACTCGTCAAGGTGACTGAGATAAGCTTGACGTTGGCTGGATCGTGTACCAGCGACGGCGTAACGATGGTATGCTTGGTCTGGATACTTTCGTCGGTTTGAATTTTAATGTCAAGAATGGAGTCTGGCTGATCGACAATGAACTGGGCATGAGACCTGGGGAGAAGAACAAGGTTAGACGCCCCGAAGGTGGGAAACAGCACCGGTTGGTCTCTGTATTTGGTGTCCGCCAGCAGCAGCGCATATTTGGTGTTGAGCGTATTTCTCCATTGAGCCTGCAGAAACGGAAACCAGTCTCCCTTTTTGGCGCCGACAATGGGCAGCTTGAGCTTGGCCGTTGGAGGTCCTGAAAGCAGTTGATGGACGAGGAAGCCAAGGAGTGCTGAGAGCAATGCCAGCACTACAGGACGTCCGAGAACTTCAAGCATCTGATGGATAAGATCTGATTTTGACTTGAGCGTCTGTCTTCCTAATCTAGATTTTGAAGAGTCAGTCTTGCGGTGAGCTGGTGTTGCGGGCATGGCTCCTGCCCCGACAACTTACGATCAACACTGATCTATCAAATGGAGACTCAACATTGACACCGGCATCGCAATCTCGGCTTTGATGGCTCCGACTTGATCTAAATGCTTCTCCTGCCAGCTACTGCTTAACCCCGGTCAAAAAATGATTCAATTATGGTGCTACCTGCTCGATTCAGCGTGCATTATAGGTGATGTTTTGCATGCGCTAGCAGTGGTGCTGACTAAGTGTTCAACAGTTGCGCTCATGATTCTTCTACACTTGCTAGCAAGCTTTCCCAACACAAACCTGCCATCAACAATTGCACTTTACCATACGCAAGTCCAAACTCATCTCATCTTTCGTCAAACTTCCAAATAGTCAAGATAAAAGTCTATAAGCACACTCCACTGAGCGATGCAACTTGCTCGGCGCTGAAGTGACTTACTCTCGTCAGCATTCTTTGCCGTCTGACGCAGGGTCGTTAAGCACGGCAGCCGAATCTACGAAGTCTGTTGGTTACGAAGTGATCGGCGTCAGCACGGCCAGGCCCTTGGCTGCTATATGGTTTGTCTGCCGCCTGCATTGCTTTGGCTCGCGTCTTAGGTAAGACACCAGCCTGTGGATCCCTTTGAAATTTTAAAATCGATCAAAAGAGCCGTTCGGCGCAGCAACGAGTTCAAAAATGGTAAGTTGAACGGTAAATTGCCCGACATGGTGCCGAACGAAAAAAAATAAAAAGATCCAGGCGTTTGGCGGCTATAATCCAGATTATAATCCAGATTGCATATATATTGCGCCGTTGCCGGCTATTAGCAACATGAACCATTAGCGGTGTAACGTCCCGTCTTTACTCTATCTGCTGCCAAGCTGGCAAGCAAAGTGTCGGGAGGAGCAATTCCAGGAATACTTCTGGATCCAATATATCAGAGATCTCAATAACGGGACTCCAAGGCCGGTGGATTAGGTAGAGGTGTGCTGCAGTTACACACTGGTGCACTGCCACGGCCCTTTGCTTTTGATAAAACAGTCTTGAATCCTGCTGTTAGGCGGCACAGTTCGAAACCTTGCTTTCAGACAGTTTTTCCGATCCTTGAGGCAGTGCCCCTTTTCACCCCTTGACTCGATTTTAGATGCAAAATGTTACGGCATCCCACAGAACATATGGTGGACGGTAGGCTACACGGCTCCTATAACCGAAAGTTGAGAAACGAATGCCGTCAAACTCACACGTTGCATCAAGCGCAGGAAGTATTTAGTGTGCTTCTAAAAGCGCAGCATATTGTCGAGTATCGCGACAATGTCCAAGTTATACATACAACTGACTGTAGCATCAGCCCTATTGCGAACGGTAACATGGCTCGCTGTAGGCCCACTCAACCCTATTGTGAACAGTTGCAAAATCTCTCCCTTGTGCGTGTCGGCACCTGGTGACAGTATTGACATGGTCTCAGCACTGCAGTGCTTTGTGTTGCTGTCAGATGGCGCTCAAGGAAACTTTCTTTTGGAGGAGATGGAATGCCTATGAAAACACAGGGTGTCATCGATGACATGGGAGAATGGTGTTCATATATAAGATTTTTCAGTGAAAGCCGGCACACCGGTTGGGCAGTAATTACCCGATATCCATTATCATGTTTCAAACATGTCTCTAAGGATCCCCGCGATAGGATCCTTGGATGAGTCTCGGTGTCTCCCATGTCTTTTTCTTCGGTCCGCATCTTCGATGTTCAAGATTTCGGGTTTCGGCATGTAGCGACTCGAGGCAGCTGATTACCATCCTTACGATGAGACATGTCTCGATGTATGTAATGCAAGCAGATCCTGTCGCCACACCACGCAACCGTTCCGAAGACAGGTGTCAGCCACGAAAGCCGTGCAGAGTATCTTGGGCCTTAATTGGCCTCTGGCGTTGCAGCCGTCGATCAATTCCAGGGATTCCATCTATATCTTGAGTTCTTGTACTTCCTCGCCTTAGATATTGTTGTGATGAATGGACCTGGGTACATCCAGTGAGAAGTCAGGTTCAAGAACAGCACATCTGTGCCGCAGACGGAATTCCACGAAAAAAGGAACAATGGCTAAATAATAGGTAAACAGCAATATGCGCTACCCTCAAAAGACTTGTACTCGGCCTATAATAGCAGCAATGTCCAAGCACCAGGAGAGCATAGTTCTCTCACAAACTCATTTATTACTTTTGAAAATCAAAAGAGGAGGATCTAAATAGTAATGGCAATTCTAAGCTACAAATACTAGATGGAACCAGACAGACAACTCATTCCAATCCATTATGCGGCCGTATGCGAAGGAACAAGGGCCTGCACCAAGCTCAAAATCAATTCCAACTGCAGAGTGAGCCCCCCCGCTTAGCCTTGCAGAAACAGGATCATAGTTGTGAGAACAACTCTTTGCGATAAGAGTCTGGTATCACTGCAGATGAGGCGGGGTTTGTCTGTTTCACCGACCATGGGGTGAAGCATTACAGCTGCACTACAGAAAAGCCAATATGCAAGTCTCTGCAACATCACATCTAGTGGGCGATTTGACACCAAGGAGAACATGGAATAATCTCTACGTAGGCTGCATGTCTAAGGTTTGGGGGATTAACTCCAAAGTCGAACCTCGGGTTGAACAGCCGGGCGGAGGGAAAAGGCGCTCAGATTGGCAGCACCGCTTGCTTTGACAACTTGGCGGTATCCAAGTTGCGTCCGCGTCATATTTCTACGGGAAACTCGCCTACGACGGAGGGTTCTAACCCTCAATGCAACCCCATTTAACCGGCCCGCGAGTTCATCGAGACCGACAAAGTATAAAGCAACACTTTGGAAGACAGGGATGATGGCACCTGTGCCGCTTCACCACAACAATCATTTGTCCACTGTGCTGGGAGATCCAGGTGCCAGGTTTCGATGGCGGCTTATCATGCTCGATCGTCATAGTACAAACGTAGCTATCCAGGTAGAGCGCCCGACATGGGCTTATCTTGGATCGGTGATATGGATCTGCTACGTTGTCTGTATGTCGACGTTTGATTGCCACTCATGGCTGCCTTTACTCTGCGGAAATTCATGTCAACGGCGGCTCGCTAAGGAAGAAAAGGGAGCTGTGCTAAGCCCAAATGGGTGTCGCGCATCAAGCAAACTCCCTGAGCCAAGCATCACCACTGGTTCAGTTAGCTGCAGAACCAAGACGGGCACAACTGCAGCCACCACGAGGCAAGCCGTCTTGGTCTGCGATGTGTGCACAACTCAGGGCTAGTGCACACGTGGAAAACAGCTACCACGAGGCGCACTGCTCCTTGGCCACGCGAAGCTTATGCAGCGAATATCCCAAAAGAATACAGCGCGCTGATCCTACTCAGCGTCACCCACAATGCTGTATCGCGCTCATATATGAGCCTCTCGAGCTGCTTGTTTGCTTGTTTCCTTTGCAATTGTTGGAGAAGCTCAGCTGCCCCAGATCATGGCCGCCGTTAGCCAAATCCTTCAACCAAGGGCAACACAAACACTTATTCCTTGCGCAAAATCATGACTCAGAAGGTAGTTGAAGCAACTAGTGATGCGGGCACGGAGCAGTAGTAAACAAGCGCTCCCAGATGATGACGCGATGTCGACGTTGTATACCTTTCGTCCGGCACATCAGGCAGAGGAGGATTAAGAGGCGTGCAAGATCGCAGAACCCAGCGTTGCGGGACAGCGCAGTCATCGGAGGTGCTACTGTTCCTGGAGCTGGGCACGCGTCAGCGCCGACTCCACAACGGCAGTCGCATTGGCGCCATGCCTTTCGGACAGGCGGAATCAACGCCACATGGATAGGCTCAGGACAACATCGCAGTTGGCATTGCGCTGAACAGTGTTGTTGGCCAGGATTGCTGAGAGCACTGAGAGGTTCGAGATCGGCATGTTGCATCGTGGCGCGCGAAGGGAAACCGTTGGTCGAATGATTAATGAGAGTCAAGATGTATGTCCCACCATGAAAGCCGCCAAGCAAGGAAAAATTGGCATCTGCTGGCTGCATTCTGGATTTGGTTTGCCTGCACAGCGCAGGCAGGGCTGGAGCGGGGGGGTCTGCCGGTGGACGCCAAGACGGTGCTAGCTGAATCCCCATACCGCAGGTGTGTGGGGGGTGTAGGTTGAAACGACATGATAGTAGGCCATGTGCCGAGAGAAACGACGACGCTGACACGCTGGCCTGTGCCGCCACGCAACATGGAGATGGCATCATGAGATGATGGAGATCTGTCAAAGTCGCGCACCAGGCTGCTGGAGTTCGTGATCTAGGATTTGGCGCTCGCGAATCTCAAAATGGGAGGGCAACCAGGCCAGAGAAGAGGCAGATTGTCAGTTTGATCGGAGGAGCGTGGAGGATGCGGCCAATGAATTGGCGGGGAAACAAAACATGGGGGAAGTGGAGTGCCCGCGGTGGAACGATTGAAACGATGGAAAGCTTGAATTGGAAACATAGCAGTCGCAACGTCGGTCGAGATTTGGGGAGCAGAAGCCCAAAAAGCCCAGAACCCACCCGGATGGTCCACACATGTGCAATCTCTGCGCCGGGAAGGCTGCAGCCTAAACCCTTTTGGGGGATGATTGCCGGTCCTGGTCTGGCTTGGCATCATGCGGTCGCCAGCTGCTGGACGGCATAGCAACACCAGATAGGAACTGGCTATGGACAATCTGGCATGCAGTCAGCCGTGCAGCCGTGTGAGATCCCCCGCCATTCATCCAACCCTCACCGTCACAGGGTTTCATGCTCTGCTCCAGCATCTCCAGATTCTCCAGATTGTCTCCTGTTGCGAAATCCGGGGAAACTGGAACCATCTCATCCCATCTTTAGGCCTTCAGGCTGTCTGGGGAAGTGGACACCTCCCCAGATTTGCCCCACGTTTCTCGGTGCTCCTCCTCAGCATCATCGGATGATGCGTTAATGTGGAAGAAACACCTGAGTCTGGGGTCTAGGTCTAGAGTCTGGGGCCCCGGATTTTGAAACCCCTTTGTTTGCAAAACCCCAGATTTTTGCAGAGCCCTAAAGTGAGGCTCCATTTTGCACCACCTGTGTTGCTGTTTGTCCGACAATGGGGAATAATCGCCAACGAAAATCAACCACCGTCAGTGTAAGTACTGAAAACGAGAGCATTTTTCTCTCACTGGAACAAACGGCATCTGTGGGCAACCCCTTTCGCGTCCCATTATCTCCCCCTAGCCGGCTCATCGGGTGAAAACAGTTTGCAGTCATCGCTTGCACTCCATGTTGACCGGCCGCCCAATTTGGCTGATAGCCCAGCAAGCATCGGTGCTAAAAACGCCACAGATGCAATCCTCAGGCCGGCTGCTGACCAACATCAGATCGCCATCATTTCATGTACCCTTTCGAACGTTTCCAGAAGCTTTCTTCCCTCCTTCGCAGCATCTCCCTTGGTCCGTCTGTCGCACGCCATGGCCCAAGCTGCGCTGCTTGGCTTGCTTTTGGCACGTTTTCTCTGCATGGCCCCTGGCTTCTGTATCTCGCACGTGCCGACATGCGCTCGTACTGCTGCGGCAGCAAAGGGGCTACGAGATGAGAAACTCATCGAGGACGCCGGAGAGTCGATGCCATGCGAACCATGTACCGACGCCATGCCCTTCTCGAGGAAGCCAAGCTCGCAGCAGCCAACGCTCATGCCCGATGACCAGGCAAAGGTCCAAAGCAGATGCAGACCATGCTCCCCACCCCTGCATCAGCATTGTATCCTTCTGACCGAACGCTACAATTATCCGGCGGCGCCGTTGGGTGGCAGCCACGTGCGGGGACGAGATGGCATCTCACAAACAGCCAATGAACGCGCTCATCGCAGGCCAAGCCGGACCTATTGCACAGATCCAGGCTCGTGTCACTGGCCGAGGCCCCGCGTCGAAGGTTCCATTGCCTACAGGCCCTTCCAGCCAAGGCCCTTGGCGCATCGGAGGATGGGAGGGTGCCCTGCTCGACCCATCGGCCCGTCATAGAGAGTGATAACGTTGTGTTAGACACGGCTGCTGCTTGATGCTTCAGCGGTGATGCTGGAGGCTTATCAGCGGTATGTCTCTACATACACATACACGCACACACTCACATACTCATACGTAGGTAGCTAAGGTAGATGCTGAGTAAGAATCCCCAGCCAATTTTAGCAGCTTATCCTCGTGCGCGCCTTGTGTCCTCTCGTCCGGCGCCGCTCACTGGCAGAGACGTCTCCGCGCCACTCTGTACTGCCCTGCCCTAGACAATCGGCTCATTTATTTCCATGCTTGCAGATCGTCAACCAGGGCGGCCCAGATCTGGCCGGTGCCGCGGCGCGCTAGGCTGTTCGGTTGCTGGTCACGGTCAGCAGAATGGGCTGAGTGATCCATCACTTCATTATTTCCTGCTCTGTCGCAGCGCCAACGAGGTTCCAGACGGACGGTGTGCGTTGGCAGGTTGCAGGCTGTATGTACACCACCTAGCACGGTCCACTTGTCTCGGCCATGCGCAACGGGGGGCTTGCCTCAATTTGGAACCTTGTCATGGGCCCTGGCCCTTGCTGCTCGACAGCCGCGATTTGCAAGGGATTTGCCAGAATGATGCAACCCATGGCCCGTGGTCCGGCGCGGGTCAACTCCCGCATTGTACGTTGCGTCCACACCCATGTCTCTCCTCTACGCTGTCCTCTCTGCGCTCTGCCGGGTCCCGGATGCGGGCTCGCCGCCCGGCCGGAATTATCTATAAGACTGAGACGTCGCCTGCTCATCCATCTGCCTCTCTCGCTCTGCACTCATCTCAACTCACACATCTTAGCTCCAACCTCGAGAGCTAGACACCTGTGAGAGCGGCATCAGTTTCCTCAGCACGACAGCCACAGCCTCAGTCAGCAAACTTCACACTCTTCCTAACACCCTTACACGACACTTTCACACTCTCACAAGACACCTCTTCCGCCATGGGCAACCCTAAACACGAAGTTTCGGCTCCGGACGTCACCACCGAGTCCGACAGCGTTGCAAACGAGAAGTCGGTCTTCAAGGGCGGCGTTGATGACGTCCATGTCGAGAGCGCCGGCTGGGATGAGGCTTCAACCAAGAGGCTGATCCGCAAGATTGACTACACCCTCATCCCCTTCCTGGCCTTCCTCTATCTGCTTTCTTTCCTCGACCGCTCCAACATCGGCAACGCCCGTCTGGACACCCTCGAGAAGGATCTCAACCTCAAGACGGACAAGTACCAGTACAACGATGCGCTTGCCGTCTTTTTCCCCTTCTACGTCGCTGCTGAGATTCCCTCCAACATGGCCATGAAGCGCTTCCGCCCATCCATCTGGATTCCCAGCATCATGGTTGTCTGGTCAATCTGCACCACGCTCATGGGTATCGTCGAGAACTACGCCGGTCTGATGGCCTGCCGTTGCGCTCTGGGTCTTGCCGAGGGTGGTCTCTTCCCCGGTATCACCTACTAGTTAGTGTTCCGTCTGTTATACTTCGCCAAATGGCCTTCAGCTGACCGGAAACAGCATCACCATGTGGTACAAGCGTCACGAGTGCGGTCTCCGCATGGCCATCTTCTTCTCTGCCGCTACTGCTGCTGGTGCCTTCGGTGGTCTACTCGCCCGTGGTATTATGGAAATGCGTGGCGTTGGCGGTCTCTCCGGCTGGCAGTGGATCTTCATCCTCGAGGGTTTGTTGACTTTCGTTGTCGGTACGTGGACCTGGCATTCGACCCGATGAAGTAACATCGTAACTAACGCTCGCTAGCCGTTGCCGCCTACATCATCATGCAGGACTACCCGGCTACCGCCAAGTTCCTGACTCCTGAGGAGCGCGAGGAGGTCCAAGCCCGCCTCAAGCGTGACCGCTCTTCGCTCGCCGATGAGTTCGATATGAAGTACTTCTGGCAAGCGCTCAAGGACTGGAAAATCTACTGCCACATGTTCATCACTATCTTCGTCTACACTGCCCTCTACTCCTACTCGCTCTTTCTGCCCACCATCATCAATGAGCTTGGCATCTCCAAGACCCCTGAGCAGTCTCAGCTTCTTACCGTCCCGCCCTACTTCGTCGCATGCTTGTTCTGCGTCGCTGCCGGCTGGTACGCCGATAAGATTGGCCAGCGAGGTATCTTCATGATTGGCTTCATGCTCATCGCGTACGGTCCTTCCCTTACAGCTCTTCAAGACAACCAATTGCTAACTAATTGACACAGTATTGCTGGTCTCCTCATGCTCATCTGCACCACCAATCCGGCTGTCCGCTACATTGGCTGCTTCCTTCTCGCTACTGGTGTTTATCCCAACGTCCCTATGGGTGTCGCCTGGAACGGCAACAACATCGGTGGCTCACTCAAGCGTGGTGTCGGTATTGCTATGCACGTCGGCTTTGGTAACCTGGGTGGTGTCGTGTCTTCCTACCTCTTCCTGGCCAAGCACAAGCCGCGTTACTTCTCTGGTTTCGGTGTCCTCCTGGCCTTCCAGGTCGCCGCCGTCGTTCTCTCCGTCATCATGCACATTTACCTCCGCCGTGAGAACGCCCGCCGTGACCGCGAGTACAAGCCCCCAAGCGAGTACACTGAGGCCGAGAAGCTGGCCGAACGTGAGAAGGGTGACTACGCCTCCTTCTTCCGTTACACCATCTAAGCCGTCTCGTGCAATCTCTACACTTATTCTCCTCCTTTTAGGCAGGGATAGACACATCTAATTATTCTTCTTCGGCTGTGGGATACTTCAATTTGAATAACTAGTTTGGTTCAGTTTTGGGTGAAGGACTAGGGATATCTTGCAGCCTCTTACAGGGTTTCTCGTTCTTGCAGCGGGTTGGTTGGCTGCCGGAATGAGATCACATCACGGATATAGCTGATACAATAGAAGGTTGTTCTTATACTTGGGTCAGGTTCTGGTGTCATCGAGCATGGGTCATGGATGGTTCGAGATGTACTTGAGTTGAGGCCTGTCGTGATCGAGTCACGATGACTTGGAGGATTTGAAGGGCTCAGCTTGTATATAGGCTCGAATAGGCACCAACAAGGATGAAGAATGATCATCTATGTTCAAAGTTCGTACCATTGATTCTTGAATATGTCTGAATCTTGCATAAGCTTCATCACTTAACTACAGGAACGGGGTAAACATACCCACGAGCACCTCAATCAGGTCTCCAGCAGCTCTAGGTGGCCATCAGGAGCAATAAAAGTTAGTGCGTGATCAGTGGTTCCGGGATGTGTTTGAAACCCTAAATGACAGCTGATGTCATTGAGCAACAAATAGAACCCTATGTACATGAAGTGAAGCAGTACCATCTTTTATCTCCTTCCATCTGCGGACTTAGGTAAAGCTCAGCCCTGGTGAAGAGATGGCCGTATCCAACTCAATACAGTGTCTCCATTGGCTTAGATGCAAAGACCAGCGCAATCGGCGCCTCCCTTAAGGGGATCACAGTCGTCTCTCGGATCATCAAAGCACTTCTTGCCGTCCGGGCACCTAAAGCCCGCAATACCGCCGCACATGATGGGCTTGACACAGATGCCGGGAAGATCGCAGGCCAGGCCGCAACCCGAGGTGTTATATGGGTTGTCGATGCAGATCTCTCCGTCATCGCACTTGAGGGGTGTTATGCGATAGCCGCCACATGGTTTGTATGTGTGCGTTGGGAGAGGAGGAAACTTTGTCACTGCGGTCGGCTTGATGATGGTCACCAAAGTCTCTGGGGGTCTTGCTGCTCGAGATTCTAGTCGGTCGGCGGCAGAGGCAGCGCCGAGCAGAGCAGTGAGGAAGAGAGAAATGTAGGAAAGCTGCATAGCGAACGATTTGTCTCTAGGGAGTCCTGGAATGATGGACTGCTGGTTTCCGCGTGTTCACAATTGAGGTTCTGGCGCGCCTTGTCTGATTTTATACACGCAAGCCTGACACCAAACCCGAGTCTGGTCGGCTCATCATTACGCCGATCGAACCTGGCATTTCATTCGCTTTCCTGATTTTGGCCCGGATGAAATGGAGGGCGGCCCGGTCAACAACATCGACCATGGCCGGAGTGCAACACGTTGAGATATTGCAAGCAGGCAGATCTGCTTTGATGTGCTAGTTTCTCAAAGCCAAGCCGGGAGCTTCATACCGTCCCACGTTTTTGGCAATGGCAGCCCCTGGATTTAGGCCCATCCGTAGCAGCCCTGGGGTCTATTTTTAGTCTTAGCATGGCAGGTTGACACTAGAACCAACGGCTCCACTGGATCCAAGACATGCTGTCGTTTTTTATCTTGAACCCTATCTGCTCAACGGGGAGTCTGATGCACGAGCTTCACGGCCGATAAAGTTTCATTTGCCGTCAAGCTTCCAAAGAGTCGGACCGTATGGGCCTTTGACACAGAGTTAGCATTCTACTTCCACGTTTAAAGTTCCATGCAGCAAGTTCGATCAGAAACTAACGTGAATCCAACTCGAATTGAATGCCCGAAAGAGATCTTTCGTTGGGACATTGGGATCTTGGGCCGACAGCGCTACAGGCTTCCGTTTAGAACATTCGAGCCTGAAGGAGATGGTGGGTCCAAACGCTGTAATTGTGGCTTGCCCGGTGGAGTTCGTCCCGGGCCAAGTTGGATTCAGAGAATGTTCTCTGGTTTCACATCCAGTGTCTTAGCTGTTGAGCAAAAGTTTGCTCGTATTAAATCCTTGATCTAGGGGCTGCGAAACCGACCATTAGTGAGGTCCACAGATCATGTACTTCGTGTTCTCTTATGATCTCCTATTCTGAGACAAATCTATGTCTCCGGTACAGATAATTGATATAAGGAATTACTGGGATTACGATGAGCAAACTTCGATTTGTTTACCCAAAACAATCTTGTGTTTAGTTCATTAACCCCAGACAGATGCAAAGAATCGACAAAAAGGCTTCCAACTCGACAGCTTCGATGACTAGAGTGTATTGCATGGGAATACCTCAAAGAGAAGCAGTCAAATCAGAGTTAGTATGTTTCATATTGGCACGTCAACTATTCTAATTTGTGAGGCGTATGAAGCAAGTTGTCGGAGCCGTCCTTGGATACATCGAGTCTCGCAAACCAGACCAGTTGTCCAAACCATACCTATCCGGCTCCCAACACAACTGTTTCGGGTGCTCAACAAGCCAATATCGGAGAAAAATCAGCTGTTGGGAATTCTTGAATCCCAAAGCCCTAGTCATGACTATCCTGCAATAATCGGAGGTTTTGCCTGCTATTGGGAAAACTGCTGGCTCAAAGGAAGGGCGCATTGCAACCTTACAGCCAAGACTTTGCTACACAATAGGAATTGTAGAAAATTGGGATTCCTCAGAGCACACCTAGCCAAGAACGCCATGAAGAGGTTATGTCCATGTGAACCAGATTAACCAGCTACAGTAACACCTGGTCAACTCAAGTTTCAGGTTATCTTCACGTTATCAACGCCAAGGTGGGTCTAGGCGGCTCCGGGGCGCGCCGGGGTATGGGTTCCGCTTTCCTGACCCAGACAGGGAGTCGGCTTCCTCCCCTCATTGCGTCATTTTCCCCCGACAACGACGGCGGAGTACCCTGCAGCTACGAGCAGGTGAGCTCCAAACTCCGGACTGCGTCTCATCTGCATAAGCCCTGAACCACAGCGCTTCTTCGACCCGTCAGCCATGGCTGCGCGTCCTCTCAGGATCGGCTTCGTGCCGGAACACTTTTCAACGCCGATTCACTTTGCCAAGAAGCACTACAGCCTGGACGCCGAGCTTATCCCCTTCCCGTCCGGCACCGGCCACATGATCACGGCCATCCGGGACAGGGAGATCGACATTGGCATTGGCTTGACCGAGGGCTGGGTGGCTGGTCTGGGAAAGACGCAGCAGGCCGGCGAGGGCGACGGCGGGTACACCTTTGTGGGCACCTACGTCGAGACGCCGCTATGTAAGTGGCCCTCTGATTGACTGGTTGAACGCCACTAACACTGCCAGGCTGGGCCATCTCGACCGGAGCCAACCGGAGTGACATCCAGTCGGCTGATTCGCTCAAGGGGGCCAAGATTGGTGTCTCGCGCGTCGGATCTGGCAGCTATGTAATGGGCTTTGTCCTGGCCGACCAGCGTGGTTGGCTGACCAGTGGAGAGCAGAGCTCCCCCTTCTCAGACATTGTGGTTCTCAATACGTTTGAAAACCTGCGCAAGGCCGTCAACTCAGGTGAGGCTGACTTCTTCATGTGGGAGACATTTACGTCAAAGCGGTACTACGACCTGGGCGAGATCCGCAAGGTCGGCGAGATCTACACGCCCTGGAGCAGCTGGAAGATTGTTGCTTCTACTTTACTAGTTCAGGGCGGCGACGTTGACCCGCGCGTGGAGGACCTGCTGGAGAAGCTCAACCTCGGCATCAAGCACTTCAACGAGAATCAGGAGGAGGCAGTCGAGTATATCAGCACACATCTGGATTACACAGCTGAGGACGCCCGCGAGTGGCTCAAGACGGTTAAGTTCCCTAAGTGGACGCAGGGTGTCGACCCTAAGGTCATTGCTAGCACCGTCGAGATTCTTTGCAAGGCAGGCGTGTTGTCAGCGAGCAAGGGGGTTGACTCGAATGCTATGATCACCAAGCAACGGTAATGAAGCACAGTGAAGTACTTACATTGGGAAATCATGCATGTATCATTTTCAATACCACAAACAAAGAACGCACTATCAACACAACATCCATCTCCCGCGGCTCATTTCAGAGTCCATGATGTCATTGGGTGCTTATGCCGGCGGGTACAGAATATAGATCTCACCTTCGTTACTGTTGTCACTACCCACAAACAATCCACGTCCCGCAGGATCCCAAGCAACAGCCGTCAGACGGAAGCAGTTGCTATTAGTCAAGCCAAAGGTTGTGCAGCCTGAAGGGTTCGGGGCGCTGAAGATGTCGCGATAGCCCGTCTTGCTGTCAGCGGGCGCAACGGGCTCGTAGTTGCCGTTGACGTTTTTTTGGAAAGGGATCTCCACGACCTTATAGCCGGTGGCTGGTTGGCGGTTCCACGAGCCGTGAAACGCCACGTACATGTTCTTGGCCTCGGCATCAAAGGCGTTCCAGATGGGAGCTGAGTGAGCCTGGAAACTCAGCCGGGGCGGGATGGCGCCCTGTGAGTCGCAGGTCGCGTCGTTATAAGTGCCGTTTGGCGATACGACAAAGTTACTGCCCGTCTTGAGAGAGGTACCCGGGAAATTGCTGGGCTCCCAGACAGCAAAGCAGGTCGGGTAGCCGTACCAGGCATTGCGGACTGTGAGCGGGTCGCCCACTGTAAAGAGTCAGCATCAGTCTACCAACTACCAGGCGAAGCACTCACAGTAGTTGAGCTCCTCTGCCGGGTTGTCGTTGTGAATATCCCGACGTTGCCCGTTCTCTGTCCGGTAGAAGTCCTGTTTTTGTTAGAATGTTGGGACCCCTGTTTGTCTTTCCCTTACTTACATCTCCGCTGTTCTCAACACCCCAGAAATGGCCATTTGGATCAGGAACAAAGCCGATTGTGTTGCGAAGCCCGTATCCATAAACTTCACCATCGGTATTGTAGTTCCAGCCGTTGGAGGGCGCCCTGCTAGTGTCAAAAATCTTGATGATGGCGCGACCCGTGCTGGGCCGGGCAGAATCCATGTCAAAGTTGGAGTTGCTGCCGACTTGTAAGAGGATGAGATTGGGCTGCTGGGGCACTACGGCAATCGTTCGGGTGAAGTGAATTCCGGTCGACATGCCCCTGACGACCGTCTTCTGATTGCTGACAGACCGAGTGTCTGGGTTATAGTCCCAGCTCCAAGCCGTCGTTTCACTCGACGCATACAAAGTCCGACCGTCCGGTGTCAGTGCCAGCCCGTGGTTGAGCTGGCTCGCCGAGATGAGCATGGAAGTGCCGTTGATGCAACCGTCTGTACCGAAAGTGTGCACCGAGATGCCCCTGCTGGCCTCGGCCACCAACATGTTGCCCTTGGTGTCAAAGACGATGGTACGGACCTGCCTCAAATTCCCAGCGATCTTGAAAGCAGTCCAGCCATTTGAGGTGGTGTACTGGAACCTGAAGTTGCCAACGCCATTGCAGTTTCTGGGTCGTGGGAGTTGCGGCACCTGGGCAATGGCGCCTATACTGGTCAGCAAAGCTGTGGTCGAAATAAAAGGATGAATGGTCAACGATGTATACCTGCTACAAGGAGGGCTGTCACGCCCGCAAAGTCGAACAGACGCATGGTTGTTGGTCGGGACTACAGCACAGGCTTCAATTTGGCTTGGCAACCTACTTAGGAGCAAAGGAGGGACACGGCATTTCTTAAGCTTCCAGGCATTGTTGCAGGGCGTCTACATGCTTTTGAATAAGTCACCGAGTGCCAGGGGAGACGTTGGCACTCGAGACAGCTTGGCATGCCAAGACGGGATGAGAGAGCAGACAACCCATGGTCATCATGCTGTTGACGTTCTCGTGTGGTCGAATGTGCGACGCCATGTTGAATCATGGCCAACCAACGCGTTGGGATGAATTTTCAAATATCACGCTTGATAGCCTGTTCGGCAGTTTGGCTCCGAATCGCAAGGGCCTTCCCCGGCAATCACCTTCACAAGCTTCGGCCACTTCCAAGTGCCGTGGGGAAAATGCGGAGGCTCCTCAATTGGCCGGCAGCGTAAATATATTAAACTTACATTTTCCCATAATTTAGATCCAGGGCCAGTGTTGCGTACGGCAGCTATCCACTCGGGGACCTCGCCAAACCCGTCTCCTCTCCTCGCCGCGGCAAAAGGGCAACACGCTAAGATACATAGTACACACTAAGATACGTAGTTCGTGTATCAGCTTCGTAAGCATGGCTCCTGTTGGCAGAGAGTTATTGCTCGACAGATCTTGGGCCTCTGGATCAGCCAGTGATTATTTCGGGGCTAGATAATGCGTCCACATTCCCTTGTATTTCCTCCCTAATATGGACAAACGGATAGGCCACGCGGCTACCCGAGGTAACACCACACTCTCAATATCTTGATGTGAATGCCCTGACCTTCGTCTTACTTTGTGCGCTTGTTCCACATGCTTCCAGGTCTCATCCGGATCAATCCTGGATAGCCGATCCAAATCAGGTAGCATCGTGTGGCAACTGAGGAGACAATTACAAAATCATACTGAGCTCCCTCTTTCTGTGCATGTTCTATCCGAAACAATGAGCACAGGATAGTCTATTTAAACCGATTGTTGATTTTATAGAGGAACCCTCTTGGTGGTTACAGCCTTCAATGGGTCAGCCAAATGCGTTGGTGAGTTGATGTCTGTGAAAGGATGAAAATCCCAAGTCCCCGACAGAGAGTGTGTGAACGGGAGGGATTTTCAGGTCACCTTTATTGTGGGCTTTCTCAGAGCATTTAATTTCAGAAGATGCTCAGATGGCTGTTCCTAGAAATGAGTCTGCCAATAACCAGAGATTAACTGCCCAACAACCAATCTTTGGTGAACCTGTAATTGACCAATAACTGCAGCAATCTCCCAATTGTCTCAGCGAAAACAACCTTAATATTCTAGAACTCACAACTAGCTTGCTCGACATCGTGGTCTCTGATATCGTTTTCCCCTGGGACTCCATTGACATTTGAATCCATGGGCACTCAAACATTCCACTCCTCAAAACACGATACTTCTCTTAAGCATACCAATCGCACATCTCAGTACTCGAAAGGTCAACTTAGAAAATATGTAACATGATTATTTAGTAATTTTCATAAGTATGCTTTAGCAGCCCTTCGAGAAGTCTCCGAGCCCAAAAATGGGGTGCTCCCACATGTAACCCCAACCCTGGTTACGTGAATTTTGGTAGTGGGGCACCCCAGGTGCAGGCTGAGGCCAAGGAAAGCTGGCCGTCGCCAGAAGCCAAAATTCAAGCGAAGTAGCAAACATCGACTTAGCATCAACACCACGGCATTTTCGCCACCCATCCATCCTCGACTGACTCTGCAAATCCGGTTCCTCGCCATGGTTCTTCAAGATCTTGGCCGCCGTATCAATGCGGCCGTCAGCGACCTGACGCGGGCGCCAACCCTCGATGAAAAGGTGAGAGACACTGCTGCCGCGCATGGGAGTTGCCCTGTTTGTTGACCCGGCCTGCTGCCGTTCTAGACATTCGATTTGATGCTTAAGGAGATCTGCACGGCCCTGCTCGAAGCCGATGTCAACGTACGCCTGGTCAACCAGCTGCGCAAGTCGATCCGCACCACTGTCAATTTCAAGGAGCTCCCACCGGCCGTTAATAAGAAGAGACTGATCCAGAAAGCCGTCTTCGATGAGCTCGTCCGTCTCGTCGACCCGCATGCCGAGCCGTTCAAGCCCAAGAAGGGCAAGTCTAACGTCATTATGTTCGTCGGGTTGCAGGGTGCTGGTAAGACGACGACGTGCACGAAGCTTGCGCGCCATTACCAGTCGCGGGGCTTCAAATCCTGCCTGGTGTGCGCCGATACCTTCCGTGCCGGTGCCTTCGACCAACTGAAGCAAAACGCGACCAAGGCCAAGATCCCCTACTACGGCAGCTTAACCGAGACGGACCCTGTGGTCGTGGCACGAGATGGTGTCGAGAAGTTCAAAAAGGAAAAGTTCGAAGTGATCATTGTCGATACGTCTGGTCGGCACCGGCAGGAGAGCGCTCTGTTCCAGGAAATGGTGGAGATCCAGGCTGCTATCAAGCCGGACGAGACCATTATGGTGCTGGACGCGTCGATCGGCCAGCAGGCCGAGGCACAGGCCAAGGCGTTCAAGGAGGCGGCCGACTTTGGTGCCATCATTATCACCAAGACCGACGGTCATGCGGCTGGTGGTGGTGCCATCTCGGCGGTTGCGGCTACAGGAACACCCATTGTCTTTATTGGTACGGGTGAGCACATGTTGGATCTGGAGCGCTTCATCCCTCGCAACTTTATCAGCAAGTTGCTCGGCATGGGCGATATCCCGGGCCTGGTAGAGCACGTGCAGAGCCTCAAGCTGGACCAAAAGGAGACCATCAAGCACATCAGCGAGGGTATCTTTACGATCCGCGACTTGCGCGACCAACTGCAAAATATCATGAAGATGGGCCCGTTGAGCAAGATGGCCGGCATGATCCCCGGCATGGCCAACCTGATGCAGGGCATGGATGACGCGGAAGGGTCACTCAAGCTTAAGCGCATGATCTACATCTGCGATAGCATGACGGACAAGGAGCTGGACAGCGACGGCAAGATCTTCATCGACCAGCCGACGCGCATGACGCGCGTGGCGAGAGGGTCCGGTACGACGGTGCGTGAGGTCGAGGATCTGCTCACGCAGCAGCGCATGATGGCCGGTATGGCCAAGAAGATGGGCGGCAACATGAAGAACATACAGCGTGCCCAGAGCGCCATAGCCGGCAGCAACAAGGCCCAGCAGCTCGCCGCCATGCAGAAACGTTTGCAGAGCATGGGCGGCCTGGGCAACGCCGGTATGCCCGATATGGCCAGCCTCATGAAGATGTTTGGCGGCGGCGGTGGTGGTCCGGGAGGCATGGACATGAATTCCATGATGAAACAAATGAGCAACTTGATGGGCGGGCAAAGCGGTCGCGGCGGACGGAGGTAGTCGTCATCAGGTTGACAGGGGAGACTGGATGGATGATTCAGAATGCTTAATTTCGGCACGATATCGGGTCATGTTTGGGGTAAAACGGGCTGGCTTGCATCGTTTTTTGGCGTCCGGGATCCGGGGGTTTCTTTTGGACGGAAAGTAATCATGAGAAACGTTTTATCTACAGCGCAATGCGAAATAGGGAGCTGGTTGAGGCCGGACAAGACACTTGGCTGTAATACCATTCAAGTTGTTTTGACCATGAAGAATGTTCAAGAAATACATATCTATGGTTATACAACATGCAGTATGATACAGGCTTTATGCTGTTGGATACCATGGTGCTCGAGTAGCAGCCTCTTGCGACACTCCTGGCAGTCGAAATGGATGAGCTTCAGTGTTGAGCACATACTCGTCGAGACTTATCACGTCAGGCGGCGAAAAGACGAGATAAAAGTACTTGAGCGTCTCGGCAATCCAAAAGCTCTCCATGTAATCGTCGTGCTGTACCTGCGACCTGGCAACGGTGACGTCTTTCACCGAGGCGCTTCCCAGTTGGGTGGCCGTTCCATTGGCCACTGCAAGAAACATTTCCCATGCGGTCTGCTCCCATTCGGGATCGCCTGTGATGCGCCACATGTAAAAGACGCTCTCGATGGCTTCTGGCCGCAGGATATAGCGAGGGTCTTTGACACTGGTAAATCCCTTAGGAAGATGAGGCTTGTACTCGGGGCGCTTCTCCTTCTCGATCCGCCACTTCTCTTCGTCCCATCGGCACGGCCTGCCTGGCTCGCACGCAACCATGTTGAGCCGCTCAGGCATGATGCTCATAGGAAACGCCCGGTAAGCATACGCACAACCTCGTGCAAGACGTGCTCCAATATCGACATTTTCTTCATTGCCCAGGAGCCGACCGGCCAGGGCAAAGGTGGCGCCGGCGAAGCAGGCAAGATGCTCAATCTCAGGATCCAATCTCGGAGACCCTTCTTTGTCGATGAAGACATTGCCGCTCATCAGAATGTCGGCATTATCAGGGACCATCGGCCGAAAGAAGAGATGCCGTTTGGCAGCATCCATGAAGCCCAGCGTCAGAGTCGCATATTTGGACTCCAGACCGCCAAGCAGGGCGTACATTTTGGGAAAGTACTCGTAGAGTGAGTCAGCACCACCGCCCAGCGTAAACGAAGCGCCGGTGGTCACATCCTCACGGGACATGGACACGTACTGTGGAAATAAGCCAGGTAGGGCCGTTCGGTTCTGGTTGCGAAAGAAGAGGTCAACGACACGATTGATGGCATCGTAGTACTTGGGATCCCCAGTTAGTTGGGAAAGGTGAGCCAGCTCCATCGTCAGCGTCCCAGGAGATGCCGACACAACCTGATCCTCAACGAACAGCCCAGTGCCCTCCTTCGCCGCCGTCAGGTTGATGTTGTCCACAGGCATCCGGTTCTCAGTGTTGAAGCCAGCATAAATGAGATTTCCCAGCTCGATGGCCTTCTGCAGCAAGACTTCGCGACCGCTGAGGTCGTAGGCAGCCAGCAACCCTCCAAGATAGCGAATGTTGGTCTCGAAGATGTTGACTTGGTCGGAGGTCGTCGACACGCCAAAGTCGATCTCGGCAACAGCAGCAACAGCCTCGTCAAACTCTTCCCGGAAGCCCATAATCCACAACGTGTCAAGAGAGTCAACTAGCGTAGCCGCCCAGCCGGAGAATTGATCCCTGCCAGTCGCAGAGAGCGGCATCAGAGCATCCTGCTTCCAGGCATACTCGCGGTAGCTCTCCCAACACTTGCGAGTCAGTTCGCGGACGGCTCTTCTCCGCGCATCCCGTGCCCGGCGTACCTCGCGGGATTCAGGCTTGAAACGATGTTGCACACGCGGCAGCGGCGAGACATGACACCGGGTCGGCAGTTGTATGAGGTCTCTCGGAGTCAAATACCGGTGCGGGATCTGTCCCCAGTCAACGCTGCTCTTAACAAAAGTGTATGGATAAGTCGGCGGCCCGTCGTTCATGTGCCTTGCCAGACGGACCGACTCTGGCTCACGCTGCGTCAGGTTTCCTGACCTGTCCAAGAGAAAGTAGAGACAAATAAGACACAGGACAAAGACCACGAATCCATTCCTACGTCTCGAAGTAATAGTAGAGGGGCGGTATTTGCTGAGTCCCGGCCAGAGCCTTCTCATGCTAGGGGAGCCTAAGAAGGACAGCATGAAATTGCTGAATGAGCATCTTATATCAGAACTTCCAAGTGTGGTGATATTGAGAATAGGAGGCACATGTTTTCGCTCAAGTCAGCTGCCAAAAGATAGCATGAAATCGGTCATCAAACCATCATCGACGGATTTGTAGTGGACATGGTGGCTATAGCCGTGCCGAGGGATCGCCTTTGATCCCGCTTCGCTTCCGCGGCCCGGGCATCGTTATCATTACCAATACCACCTGCCATCCTCGTGCTTCATGCGGCAAGTGCGAGGAGTCACAATAGTGCTCACTTCTCAACATTGGATACGACGGAAATTTACCGAGCATAGTCACTTTGGCGGAGTGGTTAACGCGCTGCCCTGCTAATACTATCTTAGCTTGTTAGGCAGTTCCTTCGGGAGCGTAGGTTCGAATCCTACAGGTGACGATTCTTTTGCGCTTTGTCGCTGCTCGAGTGTGGACTTAGCAACTCTGGCAAAGTGGATCTATCCTGTGTTGATACAGGACCCTAACCCTAAAATCCCGACAATGTAAAGCTTATGTAAGCTAGCTCCCAGCCCTGCAGAACTGGGGTACTGCTGCCTGCATCCACCCTTTTTTGGGCCTGCTACCTGGTTCTTCCGCCGTTTCTTGGCTACTATGGACTTTGCGAAATTCAGGTTTTTTATCAAAGTCCAATGCATCCACACAGACGCCGCTCCATCACGATCCAAGCTCCATCCGACTCACACGACCAACGGTGAAATCCAGCCTCCTCAATCTCGACCGATGCAAGATTCCACAGAGCTAGTCAGATGCCCTCACATCTGACCATGTCCGTGTTTATCATGTCTAACGATGATGGTGATAGCGCCGAGCCGAAAGCCGAGTAGTGCAGGCGACGTTAGGTCGTCATCGTGGTTGCGAGAGGCGAAGGACGACATACCAAGTTTAATGCATGTGTTTCCAAATTCAGTGCGTTACGCCGTGCTTGGCCATGCCCAACGGCGACCGGCGACTGGTGAAGCCAGTGAAACGGCAGCTTTGATGACGCTCGATGATTGACTAACTTCGACTGGCCATTGAGAACATTGCACCTGCACACGTCTTCCAAGGTCGACGGCCATCGAGGGTGCACAGCGTGGAGCAGCCGCGAGGTGGGCATTGATGAGATTCGTGGCTCACTGTGCCGGCTCCCGATCATCGATGGCTCCTAGTGTATCCTGACCCCTCTCCGAGAACTCCAAAAAGGCTCCAACAGCCCATACCCATCCATGATCCCCCAATCACGGCCCCCTGCCCAACGTTCTCCCTGTCCGCGGGCTCGTCGGGTTAGTTTAGTGCTTGCGTCAGGTTGCAGACAAGTGCAGGAGCGCAGACGGCTGCATCGACTCTCAGCAAAGTGCATGGCACAATCCTGATTGCGCCCTGATTGCTGCGGTTGCTGCCATGACCCCCATTGTGCGCGACAGATCGGGCCTGGCGCCGGCCTACGTGGCCGAATCTCTGCCCACTGAGCAAGAAGGGCGTTTGATCGGGCTCCTCTGAGTCCCGTCTGAATCATTTCTGACTCGTCTCTGCCCGCACTCTGGCGCATTGGCTGCGGCGCGGCTTTGGAGCTTCGAGATTGATGGCAATTTTGGCACATGTCTTTGCAGTCATGGAAAAGACCGCAGCCCTCCACGTGGGATCGTCGAGCTCACATGGTCCCCTTGGCCGTCTGTGGTCCTGCTTACAGTGCACTCGACAATGCTTGCTTGGCCAAGGACACGAGAGGGTAAAAAGAGAGTGACCCAGCCGCCCCGCAACCGCCATTGGGCAGAAACCCTCGACGCCGATGCGGGGCTCGATCCGATTGGGAGCAACTGGGAGTCGGACGGCCAGATCATTGGCCGTCTCAGCCGTTGCCGTTGCTTTTGGCTGCTGGCCAGCCTCCTGTCTCCGACCCCTCTCAACCTCGACAGCGGCAGCGCCCCGCACCCCTCACGGTCTGCTCTGGCGGCCCCGATACCCACCTTGTTCCAACTTTCGTGGAAGTCGTCGTTGTCGGCGGGGTTTCTCCCCGATGCTTGCCGTTCGACAGTCTCAGCTCGGCACTAGCGTAGAGGAGGCTCGGCGATCCACCGATCGACGCTGGAACCAGCCGTCAGCTATCGCATCCATTGACAGCACATCACTGGTCCCCCCGGCATCGACAGTGCGAGATCTCAACAGCAGCAAGCAACACGTCTCCCGCAGCCGTCCAGTGATGGCAAACACAGCAGCGATTGCCAAACAAGACCGCAGAAACACTTCGGCTTTGCTAATCCCAGGGCAGCCATTGAGCAGCAGGCGTCGAGCAACACAGGCATCGGCAGGCGGCAGCGCCACGAGTACCCATTCGTATTGAAGTGCAGAATGGCAGCCACGGAAGGCATTGAGGCCCAACTGAAGAATTTGCACAGATGGCAACACCTCAGCAAGCCCTGCCAACGCACGCCCGCAACGCCAGCCGCAGGTAAACCGTGCCGAAAACGGGTTCGTGTGATGTGCGTGGAGTCAACAGGTAGAAATACGCCGCCCGGTTCACCGCCTGCACCGGCGATGGGGCCGTTCTGGGTCCAAGGACATTGCATTAGCTTCCCCGCGCGGTGCGACCATGAGATATACATATCTGGCCCTCGACCTCGACCTTAACCTAAACCCCAGCCTCACGGTTGACGCCGTAGCCCTCCTCGCCCTCACCTTCATCGCTGCCCTAGTCTTCATCTACGGCCTGATTGCCATGGCGAGGAAAAGGAAGTCTGCTGCCTCCAAGGCGGCACAGTCGACCACCTCCGGCTCGTCGGCAGCCTCGAAGGGTGGTGCTGTGGGCCAGGGCAAGCCAGCCGCCGCTGTTACTGCCCAGCAGGAGGTAGACACGAGGCCCGAGTCTTCGTGAGTGGCCCCGTTTTTGAGAGCTCGATCGTGCCCACATCTATCTGCAGCGTGCTTTCTGCTCTCACCATTACGCGTGCTAACCACCTCTCTCTAGCCCTTACGGCAGCCCGGCCTGCACCATCCCCTTCGCCAGCCCGCTGACGGTGCCGCTTGACATCCTCAAGAAGAGTCCGAAACTTCTGGCTGCCTATGAGAGTCACCTGCCCGAGCTCGCCGCGGTCCCCGAGGACGTGGCACATGTCCTGGTGCACTACCTGTACACGGGCACCTACCAGTCGCTGCGGCCGAGACCGACCGACATCATGCCCAGCCAGATCTGCGAGCTCAAGACGAGCATCCAGGTCTACGCTGCAGCCCGTGTCTACGATCTCCCCGAGTTGATGCGCCTGGCCGAGGCCAGGATCGACAAGTTCGGCGAGGGCTTGTCGCTGCCCGCCCTGCTTGAAGTCGCCCGGGACGCGTACCCGACCCTGCCCGAAGGGGACGAGTGGTTTCTCGACTATCTTCGGTCGCGAATTCGCCCCTACCTTAAGGATCCTAAGTCGTTGCTCGGGTCTAACCTTTTGGACCAGATCAGCGGCATCCTCTCCCCCCATAAAGTGCTTCTGAGGACCGTCCTGGAGCTCTTTTGCGAGAGACTTGCCCTCCGCCCCGACCACGCCGCCGCCCCTTCGCCGATCACGAGCCACGTCATCAACGCCGCCAGCAGCCCTGCGAGCAACCCCAACAACCCCAATCTCTCCCGGGCCGTCTCCCCCGCCCCCCTGCCCCCCGTGTCCCCCATGTCGCTCCTGGAGATGAAGTCGAAAGCCGTCTCACTCGAGGATACCGCACTCGTCCGGAAGCGAGCCCCCACAATGGAGGCACCATCTGCCGAGATGACGACAGTCTCCTCGTCTCAGGAAACCTCCGCCGAGCCAGCCGCTCCTGAGCTGGCCGCTTCCGAGAAGACCTCACGCACCTCCAAGTCCAAATCTCCCAAGTCAGCTATCATCGCTGAATCGGCTGTTGAGGTGCCCGAGCCAACTCGCGCCAACCCAGCTGACTCCTCGGAGTCGTCCCTTGCTCCGGAGCAGGCTCTTCTGCCTTCTGCCGAGCAAAGAGAGCCTCAACCGACTGTCCCTGAGGTTATGGCTCTGCAGGTCCCCGAGCAAGCTGCTGCTCAGCCTGCCGTCTCAGAGATCCCTGACAAGACCACTACTGAGTCAAATGCTTCGGAAATGGCAATCCCCCCCATGCCCGAGTCGAATCCTAAGCACGAGATCTTTGCCGACATTGGCCCCGTCATACTCGACGTGCTATCTGCTCCTGTCGCTCCCGTTGCTCCCATGGAGGTCGAGCCCATCGCCCAACCTGTTGGTGAGAATGGCAAGTCTACGACAGAGCCAGCGCCTAAGGCGGATGCCGAGTTTGAAGCCAAGCCGGCTGTTAAGCTCTCTGACTCGAAGCCCGAGGCCACAGATGACAACGTCCCTCGCAGGGAACGCAAGGACTCTGGCAAGGACATCGACCTGGAGCCCCTGCCCAAGGACGCCAGTTCGGCTGCTGTTACCGTTTCCGAGCTCCAGTTCACTCCAGCCTCTGTCATGCAGGCTCAGCCGTCTGCCCTGCGCGAGGCTGACTCTGGTTTCTGGGAGATCCCCCCTGAGGCCGAACCTGCCAAGGATGCCATTTCCACGACCGCGGAATTTGACACAACCCCGACTCCTGCCACCGTTGAGCCGGTCCGTGCTCCTGCTCAGGTGGTCGACTCCTCGGAAAAGCAGAAAGAGCCCGTCATTAACGCTGGCGATTCCACCGCCACTCAAGCCAAGAACGAGGATGTCAGCCAGAAGGAGGAGGCAAAGCCCGACGTCGCCGAACTCCAGTCCCTCAAGGAGACCGAGTTGGCACCACTGCCCGAGACCTCCGAGCCGGCTGTCGAGACTTCTGTCAAGGCCAAGCCCAAGGCCGATTCAGAAATTAAATCCGAGACAAAGTCGGAGGTCAAGGCCATTGCCCCCTCGCCCGAGGAAGTCGCCAAGAAGCTCGCCGATACAGTCGAGTCTGAGGTCGTTGCCGGGAGCTCCTCCTCCTCCTCCTCTTCCAATGAAGAGTTCGAGAAGACGCAGGCTAAAGGCAAGGAAGTTGAGTTGCCGTTGAAGACAGAGAAGGTAGAGCCCTTCCCGAGTTATCGAGAACAGGAGTCTGAGCTAACCATGCAACAGACTCCCATTGTCGAGAAGGAGACCATCGAACCTAACTCAATGGCGAAACCCGAGTCGCAGCCCGAGACGGAGCCGTCGGTCGTTCCCAGCCTTCCCGACAATGATCAGTCCGCTGGGCCCGCTGACGCCAAGGAGGCTCAGCCCAGCATCGAGCCACAGAAGGAGTCCACTGGGAAGCCCAAGGTTTCGGTCGACAGCCATGACACCACCATCCAGCCGGCCGCTGTCGCCAGCGTCCACAACAGCAGCTCTGGTATCCAGCCCGCAGCCCCGACGGTTCTCCCTGCGAAGCCTGCGCCGGAGCAAGCGACTGCCAAGGACAGCGGTGCGGCATCCGTCCAGCCCTGCAGCGCTACTGTGAGGCAGCGGAGCTGGAAGAAGCGTTTCCTCAGCCTTCGCTATCCCGCCGGCGTGCTTTTTGGTGGCCGAGGCATGTGACTAGTACGGCCACCGCGTGCGGTGTTGTGTGTGTCGGCACCTCGGCGCGGCAGCAGGGACGCCAAGACCTTCGAGACGCACAACTCTTGTCCTTTATGTTCCCCATATGTTGGCAAGACTGTTGACACATCCTCTGCCTCTACCGCTTTCCCTTCCTTACTTTCTGCTCCGACAGCAGCAATAGGCTCTGCTTCTGCCACTCCTGCCACTTCTCTATTCCATTCTTCCTCGTCTCTCTTGTTAACTGTTTCACTTGCTGTTGGGCTTTGGTTGTGTATTGTATTGGCATTTGCTGCTTCAGATTCTTGGAGTGATGACAGCATGGGTCTAGATTGGTTCTTTTTGGGTTCTGTCCTGTTTCAAGTTTGCTTCTTGTTCTCCCTGTTGCAACACCAATTCAGGCGCTCTGGATATAGGTGGCTTGGTGATCATTTTAGCACTCAGGCTTGGAGTATCGCATGGTTTTGGAGGTCAAGTTGGCTTTGGAAGTCGGTAACTGAGAAGCCGACCATGGCTAGTCAGCTGCGGATGTTGTGGAACTCGTGGACTTCATCTCGGAGACTGGGCTAGATTGAGCTTTATTTTACCCAGGACATAATGCACATGACGGACATGGCTGATTTGACTGGTTTGGACATTTATTAGTCATGAATTGAGCATCCTACCGACCTAGGGTGGCTTTTTGTTTTTTTTTTTTTTTTGCACCCTTTTCTATAAGATTGGCAATACCATACATCTTTCAATGCCATATTTTGGAACATTGCCACTACACTCAGCGCATTTCTGCGTGTCTCCCGTTTGCTACAAGCAAGGCCTATCCCTAAACTCTATTCACTGTTGGTCTATTCATACCAGCAAAGCGTCGTTGGCAGTCTAACACCTGCCAGACTTTTCCAACTTCTCTCACCCCTCCATCCTTATCCACGACGTGCTCTCTTAGACTCCCTCTCCCGCTGCTCTGATTTTTTACTGATCCTCCTTGTTCCTGTCCGCGCCCTTCTCTTTTGTCCTAAGCTCTGCTATTCCCTTCTAAGCTCTCTTCTGCTAATTCACGTATCATCTGGCACAATTCAGAGAGTACAGGTTGCGTCCTTGACCCACTGTATTTGCCAGGTCTGGGAATCGCACATAATGCCTATCGGTTGTGCCCATAGACACGGAACTGGTTGATACTGCCAGGCAAAGTTTCTGCAGGTTGGCAGTGCACAGATGAACTTGGTCTGCATGCACATTTTCGGGGGTGTGAGCTGCAACAATGCAGCTGCTGGTTGTCGACATGGCAGTTTATGGCACTCTTCCCTTTAGGTAGCGAAAAATGATGCTCACATACATGCTCAACCCAAACCGATGCTCTCTTACTACGGCAGATGCTTCGAGAGGTGGAAGCGCATTACCATGCGGTTTGGTTGATGGCATTTAAGGGGAATGGTATATTTTTAGGAAAGTTAACCTATCGTGGTGAATATGCGATGGTGTAGCAAACCTCGAAGGCTCACATTTAAGCAAGGATGGAAGTGCGTTGAGGATCTGAGGTGAAGTTCACCATCTTTGATAGCTCGGGTAGTGGGATAGTGGGCTTGAGATGTGTGAGGCTGTCAGCTCCTACTTCCGCCATCTCCATCTTTTCTGAGAGGGCAGTCGCCCCATCTTCTGTTGCCCTTCGTCTCCTACATTCCAGAAATGGAGACCAGTTGGTTCGATGAGCTCGGATATTCCTCCAAAGCTAAGAGTTCTTTCGTCCACATCATGTGTGGTTTGAGTCATATATCAAGCTAAGCGATGTTCAGCTTAGTGCTGTTGAGCTCACTACTGAGCAATACATAAACATCTCAACCTACACATCATTGGCGATACAAGAGAACAAGCTCACACAAACTTCAAATTCCCACCCAGTCCTATAGTACGAGAGATTACACATAACCCAGTATACCGTGCTTACCTCCGACACTGACTTTGAACTATGCTTATTCTTGTAACAAGAGTCGTATCACTGGTTGTCAGGAATATCCTTCTTCCACGTAGCCTTGCCACACAGCTATTCAGGCCCAATTCCTCGGGCGCCCGGCACGGATTGAAGAGCAAGCCCTCGAAGCTAGATCAATAACAACTTGTCAGATTTTGAGGGTACGCATTGATGGTTGTCGTCTGATTTCTACGGGTGCGAGCCCTGTTGGTCAATATACACACATATTTTACTCTACTGCCATTATGCAGTGATTTCGTTGGTAATGTGTCTCTTTGATTTACTCAGGACTGCTGGCCTTGGGTTGTGCCCCGAGCGGTCCAGCAACCTCTTATTCAAACATTTTCGGGTAAAGTCTATATGGCTTTCAAAGTATAGGCCAGTGCACAGCATATCGACAACAAAGGTGCAAACTTGGCCATCCTCGGTGTTACTTTGCCCCTTATAGAGACCGCAAAATATCTCATTCCAAAATAAGACCCAGCATATTTGACCCCTGTTCCTTACACTGTAGATGCAAGGAACAACATGCATATACAGGCAGGGGGGCAAAGCAAGTGTGCAGTGGAGAGTTTCGTTGAGGCCAGGCTTTTCCATGTCATTGGTTCGAAAATAATGTTGGGTTTTCAGCTGCGTGTTTCAATGCCATTGAAACGCCTGGATGGTGCAGCGCCAACCAATGGATCGAGACTTGAGCCAAGACAAATTTCTTGTTCAAGACTGCCCAACGAACGCCTTTCGGCCGAGTCCAGATGTAAACAAATCCGACTGTTGAAGGACAAGAATACTCGGTATTGTACTGGCCATAGGTTTGAAAAGTGGGGGCTTGGAAGCTGCAGATTTCGGGCCCTTCACGATCAGGTTTGTCAAAGCTGAACAGTCATATGCTCAACCAACTGCTATCCCCGCAAGACGCTGTTTGGATAAGTAATATATGCATGCTTGGTGCCACACCCGGAAGTCTGCATGTGTTCCTTTCTATTACTTCACATCAAGGTAGAACCCGTAGAAGATCAACAATACACATGACATTCAGCCCGATGGGCACCATGTTCGAGTTCAAATTCAAATCCAGATCTCCTCTTTCATCCCGTGCCTTTCCTCTGTCGAAGCCGTCGTTAGTTGATGGGGCTATCTTTTCAGCTAGCAAAGCTGTGACGGCCAAAGGGGTGGTTTGGAATGGCAGGTCTCTGAGCCTAAAATTGCCCGCACCAAAACGCACGGGCTCCCATCTTTGCAACTGGGTCAAACGGCCAACACCACAGCGTAAGCATCTTGGTATGCACATCCTGAACTTGAATTCGCACTAACCCTTGCCAATAGTGCGGTATTCTTTTCGGCCAGGCCCCTCAAAAATCACATCATCCACCTGGGTGGTGGAGGGGTAGAAAAGTCAGCAGCTGAGCAAGGCCGTATTATTGAAGGCCATGGAGTCGCAGTTCTGCAGCAATAACACAAAGAGCTGGCAGACCTAGTTTCACCGAGAGCTATGCCACACAGTGGCTACATTTCTACGCCTATCCGCTGGAAAACGACAAATCCGGGCAGTGTGTGTTCAGAATACCAGCAACCCGTCCAAACGAACTTTTTAAGAAAAACCAACCGCGCTGGCTCGATTGAAGATCGTGATCTCCGACCGCCCCGCTAAAAGTTCCGTCTGCTGAGAAAGCCCAAGTCGTCAAGGAATTGACACGCAAGAATTTTCGGTGAAAGCCACTTCTCAACATCCCAATTCGATCAGCAAGGGCCATCCGAGGAATGTCTTGAATGGTCAAGGTAATGGTCCGGGAATCCCCCATTAAGCTAGCGGGAGACTCTCCTTCCCCTCCCGGTGCCATTTAGGCCGTCAAATCTTCTGGTCCTCAAAAGCCCAAGCTGCCTGGTCTGGGTGCCCTCTAATGGTACTCCCCCGCCAACTCCAGACAGCAATGCAGACGGTGCAACAAGAATTTTGAGGGACAGATTTAGAGGCGCAGGAAGTCAACAACCAAGAAATACTGTGGGGATGTTGGTGGTAACCGTCTGTCACACTCTCCAGGAGCGTATCTGGCTGCATGAAAACTACAGTGAAAAAGGCCTGTTTTCTTCGAACTTGGGGTCTAAACATAGAGTTGGTCGCTGATCGGCTTGAAGGGTTGTCAATTCTTAGGGATCTGATGCAATCAGAGGAGACAGGAGCGGGTTTAAAAGGCGATGTCAAGGTTCCAAGGATCAGTGGGGACAATGTACATCTCATCGACATATAACGGTCGTGATATGAGAAAGTTCTGTGTAAATCTACTGTATATGTGTGCTCTTCGAGAGACCTGCATATTCATGACCTTGGTATAAGACCAACGAGTCTAACAACATTCAACCAATAGAAGCGTGAAGCCGCTCAGCACTCGTCTAGCAATAAATGACCCACTGTTCGAGAATCATGCCACCTCTTGACCACCCAATGTTACGGCGATGCCGACGAGTTAGATGTAATTTAAACCACCATGAACCGATAGCAAGATGCTAGGACAAAGAGGTCTACGATTTGAGTTCACTCCGCAGGGACATTGGATGATTAACAACTACAGAGACCTCTAGATTGAGCACACCAGTAGTTCTCTTACCGATTGGCTGATGCCATCAAGAAGTCGATGGCACAGTCATCCGTGGTTCAACAATACTCGCTCAAATGAGCCTCGATGTTCCTGGTCATAGAATGCCTCAGACCGAACATGTACAAAGGTCAATACCTTCAAGCATAGGTTATGGCTCACACAACTGTTCGGCTTCGAGTTCTTCCTGGGATAGCCAATGGGCTGCACATCAAAATACTTATCACATCAGAAGCCCATACTCGTCATACATCTTACCAAGACAGTATCGTCCCGGAGAAAGGCTAACTTCAGCAATCAGTCTCCCAGATCATGCATACGCTCGACCAACGATGCTCAAGATCGATGAAACTACGATCAGCAACGGATGCCCTTGCCGCCGTCGCGGACACCACAGTATGGGACTCGACCTGGTACTCCAATGAGTGACATATCAGGATACCCGTCGGCAAGACTAATCAGCACACCCCTCAACTCACAGCCAGCAAACTCCAATTAGTTGTTCTCGATCCATCTGCAAACTCAACGTACGGCTACTTCGCTAACAACCGGCTGTGAAAGTTGCCCCACCATGGACAAATGAGCTTCACACGCCCCTAACCCCAAGTGACTGCCCACAGCAAAGACCCCGCAAGCCTTGCCATTGCCTTACTACAGAGGAGATCGATATGCTCGCACACCTCCCTTCAAGAGTATCGGCAATCACGCCCCCTGAGCTTCATACAGGAGCGCCGATTGTCGTAGCGAGTAAGCAAGGTATCAAGATAAGAGATAAATGATTGAGCAAAGTTCTATCCAAAGAGATGGAGGATAAAGATGAAAAACCGGGAACCAGGCTGTCCTGGGCTGTGCAAGATGGTAATGGCCAAGCGGATTGGGGGCAAGTTCGGTGCCTGGCTGATCGGCACACTAGTTCCCGTTACCTTTGGCTTACGTGCCTCTCTGGAGCACTTCGTGGCCGCCGAGGCGTCTTGGCTGGGGCGCAGTTGTAATATGAATCACAGCAGGCTGCGATTGGTTGGATGAGACATGGGCGCTGAAAGCTGTACACTCAACGTTCGAGTGTTCCTGATTCGATTGGGCTGCAGCAGAGACGGCATTGTCAACGCGGAGGCTTCTGCCGAGCAGAAACTCATGGCCCTAGCACAAGCTCAATTGGACGACAGGGGAAATGAACAATGGATGATGCGAGGAAAGGGGCCGATGCAAGCAGCCAGGAGGAGTTCGAGGAAACCATTAAAGACATTGCAGTTCTATATACGCTACTGAAAAACTTACAAAGGAAAATGCCAAGACAAACGAGCGTAGGTTGTAGATATCGCACGTGGCGCCTACACTGAGATGACAAAGCATAGTTCCTCATAAAGCCCATAATCCAACCCAATCCCGCCAATAGCCACCAAACCCTGAACGCCGGAATCCAAGAAAAGTGATACTGTACCAAGCCAGCCGCCATTGAAATGCATGTTGACTCTAACCATTAGCCAAGCCGATGACTTGCATGAGGAAACAGCCCCAGACAAAATGAAACTAAGATATGCGAATGGAATCAGGAAAAGAGCCCGCTCTGACATCCTTCAGGGACTCAGGTTAAGCCACAAATGCAGATGGATTAGCCTCGTCCTCAGCGTCATCCCCTTCCCAAATCTTAAAGGACTTAGATGCTGAGGACAAAACAACATCCTCTGGCTCGTCATTGGGCTGTCCCTGAGGTAGTGGAAGTTCATTCAATCCGCCTTCGGCCTGGCACTCAGGGACTGCTTGATCCGACTCGTCCACAACAGACTCAGGGTCTTCCTCGTCTCCCGGAACTATGAAAATGCTCGTCTTGTCGCAGCCCTCGGCGTAAAAATCGGCAGCGTTCATCTCAGCCAGGGGCCCACGCTGCTTCTCAACCATGTCATCGCCGTCGAGAAAAGAAGGAACTGCTCTCGGAGAGCGGGCAGGGGTCTGGCTGACATCGTCAGGGGGAGGGATGTTTTCCTTGTCACGACCCTCGGCGCGCTCCCGCTTGTCGCGCTGTTCCGATTCTTCGTCGCTGCTGATGTCAAGCGTGCAGGTGCTGTGCTGGAGCAGATTTGTCATCTCCTGTTCGGGAGTGTCTTCGTAAATCTCAAAGGTCCACGACGACCGAGACTCAGGGGGGAGCAGGAAATCAAGGTTTTTGCTGTTCTTTACCGATCCACTCGTGCTGGTGCTGTTACGGAGGCTGCCAGAGTAACTGGGAATCGTGCCTTTGAGAGCAGCATCGAGCGAAAACGGTACTCCGAGGTGTGCTGATCTGAAAGTCGAAGGGGTACTCGGGTGCTGGGTTCGCTGGCGGGAGAAAATACCCGGACGTTTAGAAGACCGTGGCGGTGAGCGTCCAGGAAGAGCTGCCGAGGGTGACGATAACGGGGAGAGGAGAGAGCTCCTAAGAGTCGAACGCGCAGCGGGGAACTTGGGCTGAAGGATGGTTCGTGGCTGAGCGAAGGAAGACTTGGCAGAATGCGCGTCAAAAACATCCTTGGTCGAGGACAGAGATGCCCGGGGCGGAGCTCTAGAAAGGACAAAAGTTGCAGGCTTGAAGCTCTTGGTCAGGTCGCTGTCAGCTGACAACCCCTTTGCCCTCTTAGAGAACAGCGCGGGGTCAACATTCTCGGAGTCATCCGTGTCCAAGACATCAGCGACCTTGCGCTTAGCAGGAGAGCTTGGAATGGCTTCAAATTGTTAGTCTCGATAGGTAAAAGGAGAATGCGCGCTACATAGACAAGCTGGGCATTTGTGATATGATTTGGGAAAATTTCCAGCATACCGTTTTGCCTGTTCTTAATGCTGGTGAGACTCTGGAGTCGAGCCCCGTCAACGGGAGCGAAAGGCTGACGCGTTAGAGTGGGCATAGTGATGTCGTTGAGCGGCGTCACGATGTCGCGAATGTGGGACCGTCGATGCTGCTGGCGTGTAAGAGACAAGTGGGAAAATCGGCTGCAGCCAGGTCGGTAGGCGAACTGAGGAAATTGAGGGAACAAAGATTGCCCAAAAAGCGGAGTGTTTAATGCGACAGCGCGAAAACACTTGGTTTGGTTTAATTGGACTTATCCTGCGCTCCTTTAGACTGAGCGCACGTGACCTCGATATCCTGGAGGGAGGGCCGAAAGTCGTGATATAAATTGGATGCACCGACTGGGATGTGTTATGAGGTGTGAAAAAAGTATGTGAAAGACAACAGTTGAGTCGGCGCCAAAAGCGCGTCTTGAGAAAAGCGAGCTAGGTTGTGGAATGACGTTCCAGACCAGGTATAGATGGCAGGGGGTTCCTTGGCGGCGCCGAACGCCAGCCCAGTCAGGCAAACGGCAATCAGTCAAGATGCAGCTCTAGAACTGGATGAGATTCCCGGTGTGTGGGACACAGACGAGTTTATCAGAGCTTGTGTAAAAAACACATTAATAAAGTCTCAAGCGTATGCCGGACAGCTATAATTTTGTCGGAGGAAGCGGAAGAGAGCCGGCAAAACAAGGGAGTATTGCGTAGATGAGATAAAGGGAGGGAGGTTAGGGTTGAGAGCGGGGTTAGCAAGGTGTGGTTAGATAAACAGCCAAGTAGGTAGGCCCGTCAAGTAGATGGGCAACAGGATAGGCAGGATTCTAGATTAAATGATCACTCTCGAGAAGAAGAGAGGGGAAGAAAGGGAGAAAATTGTAGAGAAAAGTTCAAAGCCCGAAATTCAAGCAGCGAGGGTGACACGGGCTTTATATAGTATTCCTCGAGGGGTCCCGAAGCAAAGGATCGAATGGCATTCAAGAGCTCCGATAGGGGGGGGGGGTTCAAACAGCAGGCCAGGCATGAGAGGGAGTACGGGAGACCAGCAGGTAGTTTTGGTGAGCAGGTAGCCTCTGCTGGTACAGCTGGTACAACTGGTCTGGCTTGAGAGGGGGGTTTGTTCCAGTCGCAGTCCCGGTTCAGTTCAAGTCTTCCGCCCACCTCTCTGCTGGTAGCTGCTACTCTGCTGCATGCTGTGATCTGCCGTCCGTTGGCACACACCCTCCTTTCCGCAGGACGCAGCAACAGTGATACTCCAGCTCCAATGTCTGTATAGATGGAACGGATCACGGACACCGGGATTGGGTTGCTCTGTTATGCTGAGCCTTTAGCACCTTGCTCGGTCTGGCATCGCAGCTCCCGAGTGGGGCCTGTTTGGTTCTGTTTGTAGTTTCTGACTCCTGGCAGGACGGAGAGAGGGGAGGCCGACCTTGGTCTTTTCGTGGCCGAAGCTCTCCGTGGCGGCCATCCCAAGGATTCCCAATCAGTACAAGGCACCTGGCTCAGAGCGGGGCCCTGGGGTTCACTAGGCACGGATTACGCATTTTCGAGTTTGGGTCGGACGTTGGCAGGACCCTTTTTGGACTTTGCGGGTGGCCCTGGGTTCTGGGGTCCCTGTCTACTGCTTGAGCCAGTCGTTGAGTGCTGGGAAACCTGGAAGCGGGCAACAGGTGAGAAGCGAGGGGTACTTTGCTTGCTCGAGACCCGAGGACAAAAGACTGATAGCCAGACTGGCAAGACGGAGGCCCAGCACAGGGCCAGCTGGAGCCTCTGGACACAGCAGCGACGGCAGCAACGGGAACAGCAATTGGTGGCATTCCCACCATGAACCTGCGGATCGCCGGTGTGGGAGGGTTCCGCAGTCTCGGGCGAATCACATCGCGTCGCCAGTCCTATTCGCCCCGCAACAAGGGGGGTCTCGTTGGGTGGTTTCCCACTTTTTCCGCAAGGGAACAAGCGCAGGTCAGCCTACATGAAACAATGCCGCTTGTGACCTTGTAGCACGAGGCTAGGGAATGTGTAAGTCGTAGTTGCATATAGATCAGAGATAGACTGCGTTCTGGAGGGCAGAGAGTCTTTCAGGTTGTTGGCTTGGTCCTGTTCGGTGTCTGCTTTCTTGAGTCTTGGAACTCTTGATCTTCTCACGCTGGCTTTTATTCTGCAGAAATCGGGCAGCGATCTGGTGCTCTCTCAAGCTTCAGCTAGCGTCGAACGCTCTGAACCGCCCGGGTCGGGTGTCCTCGGATGACAAGGAGCCTTCTGATGGAAGCGGCGAAGCAGCTGATAGATCTGCCAATGTACCAGCAGAGAAGCCGTCGCGGCGGGCATGCGCTCCCTCAAGCCGCCTGCCTTTATGATTCGGTCCAAGTATGCCTCTTTGTTGCAAGAAGCCGATGAGTTTAGCTTGAGAGCGCCGACTGTCTGGCGTATGGCGTATTGTCATGCCATAGCAAATACCAATGATCGATTAAATGTTGCTGCATCAAACCAACAGCGTTGCATCCTGGATCAGGTCTGGCCTTCGACATGCCGAGCCAACGGGCCGGCAGACTGGTAAGGCAGATCTCTATGCGATCGACAGCGACAAAGAGGGAGTGACAAGGCTACAGCAGGATCATGGTGTCTCAAATGACATAAAGATGGCATTGGATCGAGTTTCTATGCGATCCATCCGGAGAGGGAGGAAGCCAGCACAAGACTCGTGCGTATTGAGAGAGTGGCACCCAGCTTTCTGCAAGCACTTTGACAAATCCCAGAAGGCCAGCCAAGCCTTGAACGCCGTGCAGACCAGGACCTGTAGGTAACATCGTGACGGCAGGCGGACGTAGAAGCACCTACAAGCAGGTAGGTGAGCATCACGTTGAGCATTCCCCCACTTACAGAAATGGCCTAATTCTCCCCAATGTGCCAGCGACAGAAACGATACCTGACCTTTGCGGACGCACTGCGCAATGCACGACATCAAACGATCGAGGCCAACTGACCCTCAAATTAACTTGTCCCAAGCCCTCATGAGTCTTGGCACCTCCATGCCAAGCCTTCTTGAAGCTCTGACCCCACCTTATCTCTCCGGCCTGAAGCCAGTCATTGGACCACTCATAGCCAGCGTCCAAGCATCCATGGTCTTGAGTTTCCTGGCTGAGTGCGGCTAGTGCCCCGCGAGGCCTCAGGATCAAGCCAACAGCTGCCTGGCACTCTGGTTTTCCAGATTGTGGCCACCACGAATCACTTACAGATCGTCGCTTAAAGTGTCGTCGCGAGAGCGCACCAGTCGTGAACTCAAAAACAGTATATCACTCGACTGATAACCGGACGGAGTTCTCTCAATCTGATGAGCCCTGCCTGCTGATATCTGACTCGGCGACTGCCAATGGCTTCTATCAATGACCTAGCAACCGCCGCATCGGCAGTGTCGGCCCTCAGCTCGTCGACTACCGGCGCCCCGGGTCCTTCTGTCCATCCCGACGCCCGTGGTGACGAGGCGTCCGTGACGCGCGGTGCCCTGATTGTGTTGGAAGGCCTCGACCGAAGTGGCAAGACGACCCAGGTGAAATTGCTCGAGCAACGCTTCGTCGAACTGGGTCGCAAGGTCAAGGTGATGCGCTTCCCGGGTAGGTCTTTGCCTTTCTTAGCCTAATCTGCTCTGTCTGCCGGGGACGAGGCCATATTGTGTGCTCCGTCCCGAACCGATAAACTCGGATCGAATTGACTGACTCGGCTTGATCGTCTGCAAGATCGTACCACGCCGATTGGCCAGATCATCGATAGCTATCTCAAGAGCCAGGTCGACATAGATGACCATGTCATTCATCTGCTCTTCAGTGCAAACCGATGGGAGGCAGCGTATGACCCTTCCCCTTCCCCTCTCCTCTCATCGCCATCATTTTCAGTGAACTTTTGTATTAAGACAAGGCTTTGCAATTAAGTAAAACCATTACAGCCCTGCTCAATGCGGGCATTACCGTACTCTGCGACCGCTACTACTACAGTGGTATTGTCTACTCGGCCGCGAAGCAGAATCCGACCCTTTCGCTTGCCTGGGCACGTGCTCCTGAGGTTGGCCTGCCACGCCCAGATTTAGTGCTCTTCCTAGACCTGGACGAGGAGCAGGCACGAGCCCGCGGCGGCTGGGGCGGCGAAGCCTACGAGAAGGCCGAGATGCAGAAGCGCGTGAGAGAGCTGTTTTGGGGCCTGAGCCTGGGCAAGATCGAGACGGCGCGCGCTCCGGTTACTGCTTCACGTGACACGGCCGTAGGAGTGGGCAATGAAGTCGCTGTTGGCCCGCCGTCTTCACAAGCCGTGACAGGGCACGAGTATCGCTTCAGGCAGGAAGAAGAGGACCTTCATGTCGTGGATGCCGGCGCGTCAGTCGAGGAGGTTGCTGAAGAGATCTGGAAGGTGGTCAAGGCTAGAGTGGAGGCAGTCGAGAGGGGAGAACTGGGGAAAGTGGTGAGGAAAGTCCTGTAGTAACCTTGACTTCTCATGCCGGGAAGAGCCCAGCGGGAAGTGTACCTATGAAGAGCATACCGAACCACCTAAGCATAGATCCAGTTTCAGGTAAGGCAGGCAATGTAATCGCAGCAATGCCAATATGTACCGGTAGCACCGCCGACACTTCACCAGTCCGCATACGTATACTTGAAACGTACCGTAACATCCGAATGAATGCACAAGCACGTCAGAGTTCGTGGCCATGTCCAAATGTAAAAGAACTTACATGAGGAATGGCCGGAATTGATGATGATGGGATCGACATCAGCTCCCGACATTCAGATCCCAAAAGTTAGAGGAACCTGAGTGAGTAAAGAGAACGTGGTAAAGGAACAAGTTGAGTGGAGGGTAGTGGTCGAGACATAGACTTCGTGTTGAATGACCGTCCCTTGCTCTTGTTTTGCTAGACGCCATGAAGCAATATATAATCAACAGACAGCCGATCCGATGTTGAGATCCTCACCATGCTACGACGAGATATGCCGACCGCCCTGTTCCCCATCCGTGTAAACCCGCCAAGCCCTCCTGAACCCCTCAACGCCAGATAAATGCCAATTGTATATACATCATCAAACTAACAACAAAATACAACCATGCCTTTGTAGTATCTCTACTACGTATATTGATAACCGTGCTGTACTTTTCATCCTGGGTTGCCGAAGCAAATATAAACATGACATGTTCTTCTGAGGAATGACCGGGTTCCTCTTGCATGCCACGTTGAGTGGTATGACGCAGCTGGCCTGCTGCCGGAGCTCGAATCATCGATAACTCAACGATTGACGCCAATCAGGCTCAAGAATTCGTTTCTCGTCTTCTCCTTCCGTTCAAAACAGCCCAGCACGCAACTCGTGATGGTGCTGCTGGTCGTCTTCTGAACGCCACGCATGACCATGCAGAGGTGGCTTGATTCCATGACGACGGCGACGCCTTGAGGCTTGAGCACCTCCATGATGGCATTGGCCACCTCGCGTGTCAAACGTTCCTGAATTTGCAACCGGCGAGCAAACATCTCGGCGATGCGGGGCAGCTTAGAAATGCCAATGACAGCATTCTTGGGGATGTAGCCAATGTGCATCTTGCCGGTGAAAGGCACCAGATGGTGCTCGCACATGCTGAACACCTCAATGTCCTTGACAATGACCATTTCGTTGTGGTTCTCCTGGAAGATGGCGCCATTGACGATGTCACGCACGTTCTCCTGGTAGCCCTTGGTGAAGAACAGCATGGCCTTGGCATAGCGTTCGGGTGTCGCCAGAAGGCCCTCTCTGTCGGGATCTTCGCCCACACACTCGAGCAGCGTCCGGACGGCGCCCTTCATGCGATTCAGTCGCGCCTCTTGCTGCGCGGCGTCTTCCTCAAGGCGTTCGCGCGTGCCGACGCTCGGGCGGCTCAGGCCGTCAAAGTCGATGACGGGACTCGGCGAGCGCGTGGATGAGTCGACGGCATCGTCGGGCGTCGCGGTTGTCTTTCTTTTCTTCTTTTTGGGCAGCGGCTCGGGCTTGTCACGGAAATCGCGCGCCGGCTTGCTGACGCTGGAGCGGCGCTCGCCAATGGAGCGGGTGCCCGTGCCATTCGGGCCAGAGGCGACCTGGGACTTGGAGTCTCCATCACGGAACCTCTTCTTGCTGCCGTTGCTGCCGTTACTGCTGCTCTCCCTGCTCTTGCTCCTCTTGCTGTGCTTGTCGCCGTTGACGAAGGCTGTTGAGGGGCTCTCGGACCCCGAGCGAGACTCGAACTGCACCATTATCGTAGCCACAGGCTTTCGCACGTTGCGTCGCACTGGCGTAATGGCGATTCCGTCGATTTCGTCCTTTGTGGTCGTGTCGGATTGTGCAGACTGCGATGGGAGAGAAGAGACAATGGCGCGTTGGAGAAACGAGAGTCGAGGACCACTCGAGAAAAAGTGAGGGGCCGAGGGGCGGATGACTGCGCTCCTTTTAATCGTTCTTCCTCGCAGCAGTCCAGGATGGCATAGCCGTAAGGAGCCAGGTGACTCCGGTCCCGCCTCCGAACCTGTTGAAATTTTCGAGTCGTGGTCTAGCGACGGCCAAGGCGGGATGCTCCGGCGCAGCCGATAAGGTTCTTTTATCTTATCGTATAAAACATCTCCGACTTAAGCACAGGGTTGTAAAATACCATCGTTTCAAACGTTCTCCCCCACATCGCACGTCTTGATACTGGGGTCAGGCGCGCCCCATACGTGTTTGAGGCGATTACTCCAAAGTTGAGGGTGGGCTTGCGCCAGCCCGACAACAGTGTTTTCCTCGAGTGGAAACTGGAAACGCTGCGGCTGGATCCACATCCACTGCTTGTATGCTCGACCCAGCATCCATATCTTCAGCAAAACATCCTCTTTCCCAACAGCCAGCATCCACGAAATAGCATCCTTGCGATTACGCTTTACTTGATAACGTACGGGCGCTTCTGTCAATCGCACATCCAAGACAATCAATCAACTGCTGTAGCTGTTTACTCTTCGGCGACGTCTCGATCGCCGACATCGTCCACCTAACTACGTCCTCACGTCAATTCAAGGCCACACCTTGCATCCGCTCAGCGACACCATCATGGCCTCCCCGCCAGCGTACTCACCGCCTTATACTTCCCATTCGCCTATCCAGGGAGTTAACCCAATGTCATCCAAAAAGCGCGCGGCAGATACGAGCAGCGGGTCGCCTGCCCTCAAGCGACGCAAGGCTTCGGCCATCTCCATCTCGTCAGGTCCCCCCTCCGCCCATCCTCTCCGTCAAGCCTCGTTTCCTCCCGATGACGCGTCACCGTTCGGCCCGCGATCTCCTTCTGTTGATGTCGATGCTGTGAGTCTTGTTAGTGGCAGCCAGGTCAGCGCCGTCGCGCCGCTCAAGAAAAAACGCGGTCGAAAGTCCAAGGCCGAGAAAGCTCGAGAGCAGACACCGTCGGTTGTTGGCGCCAATCCCCCCACAGCTATCAGCGCCATCAGTGACAGTGCCAGTCGGGGGGTTAAAAGCTTAGTTAACGTTGTCGGTGTTGGGGACGAGGGTGAAGCTGATGAAGAGGGCCCGACTCAGGTTGCCGCCACGGCTGATGCCCGGACCCAAGAGCAGAAGGAGGAGGAACATCGTGCCAGACGCTTGCTCATCAGCGCCTTCTCTGATGAACAGTTCAATCGCTATGAAAACTGGCGTGCTGCCAACCTGAGCAAGCCCGCAGTCAGAAGAGTAAGCCCGAGGAAATTCTGCTCTGAATCATGTATCATGTTACCAGCAGCGAAGCTGACTGCTTTCTTAGCTTATTAATGCCACCGTGTCTCAGTCGGTTGCGGACAATGTTGTCATTGGCATGCGTGCCGTCGCCAAGCTTTTCATCGGCGACATTATCGAGAGCGCTCGCCGCGTTCAAGGCGAGTGGATCAATAAAATGAACGAAAAGCAGATCGATTTACCAGCGCCGCCGCCATTGGATTACCCCTCTGCTGGTGACAAAGACAAAAAAGACGAGGGCGAAACCCAGAAGGAGAACAAGGCCGATGACCGCCGTGGGCCGTTACGCCCAGAGCACCTACGCGAAGCCCTTCGACGTTACAGAAAAGGCCTGGAAGGAGGCGGCGTGGGCATGCAGTGGATCTGGCACCAGCAACACCAAAACGGAGTTGATAGGTTCCCCACGAGAACAGGAGGTCGCCGAATCTTCCGTTAATTAAACCTTGCTGTGGGATGCATTTGTGTACTTCCCACCTTTCAGTTTCCATCTGCAGTTCGTCTTGTTTGGCGCACAGGGGTTGGGCTCTGAATTTCACGATACCCACAACACGGATTTCCGGTTTATGCGCTGGTTTTCGGTCTGTTCACGGTGTTACAGGGCTTGGTGATTAAATTATACGGGTCTCATAGAATATTCCCAGCATCTATAAGCAAGCATTGGTAAAAATGGGACCATAACCCTGCGGGATTACTCAAATGGGGCTTGTTTATGATGGGTGTTTTGTCATCTGAGTGGACAATTTATACTCAACTCAGCATCGTGGTCTCTTACGGTGGCATGAATAGCAACGCCCTTAATGAACAGAGCGACCACAGTCTCCGGTATGCTTTTCTTCACTTTGCTTGTGTCAATTAGGCCAAATAGAACCCTCTTCGTCCAGAGGCTGACATGATCGGCTCCAGAGACAACGAAGAGAATCCTTTCTTACCACCGTCCTGTTAGCACGTTACCAGCGAAGCCTCGACGATCTGGACCGTGGTCACTCAAGTAACCGCGACCACTTCCCCTGAGAAATACAAAGAGAAGTGGGCAATGTCGCTTGTTGTCGTCAAGCCTCATCCTCATGCTTGGCATCCTGTATCGATAAGCAAAGGAACCCAGAGGCAGACTTGCTCTCAGAATCAGTGCCATCACTCACGTGGTTACGATCTGGAGTAGTTTCCCAGCCGGCCATTAGTAGGGATTGTGGATATGGGTCATCATTGGACGTACCAGGTGACCTTTGTCTCGACACAAACGTCTTCAAATGACTGCTCTTTCATATGTTGTAGTCTTACCTATTCCTCCCCTCATGGCTCCCTCATCAACCAACCCTGTTGCTTCTGTATCTGACCAAACTGGTAACGATGTCGCTGAACTTTACCAACTCCATGCACAAGGTCAAAGCAACCTCAAGGGTCTTCATCTGTCTTCATACAACCATTTACTCCTACTGGACACTGAAGATTGTCTGCCGACTAACTTCTTCTCGCAGCCTTACTAGGGACTTAGCATAAACTACTGTTGTATACGCTTTACCATTTCACCTGAACAAGGGTTACGCATCTCACTTCGTGTGCTGTTGTTGGTTTTATCGATGTATGCTTGCTTTGCTCTCCTAGTCATTCTGGCTTTAAGACTCATATCAAACCAAGCATCAATTTTCTGGGTAACAGCTCTCTCTCTTATGCGTTTGAGTGTTTCTCTCGGGTTGGAGGGGCTATTATGGTTTGCTAGTGTCATCAGCACCCCCAAATCACCGTCAACGTCAGCAGACAACATAGAAGACTGGAAACCATAGTATGACTTCCTTACTTTCTATGACGTGGCCTCAACGGCAAAACTCATCGAGGCTAGAAGCTTGTTAGCATGGGTGCTAACACTTTTTTGACTCGCGTAGATGGATGGGATCTGGCCGGGTGGAGGTAAAGCCAACTTGAGTTGCGGCTGAACACAGCTAGGACACAGTAATGTATATTAAGATTCCATATATAGAAAGATACTACCATCCTCTGTCATGTCTGGTGGTGGGGTGACAGCCTGGAGGGAAGACCTTTAAACTCCAAGCAAGTATTTGATGATTCGTCTAGCTGACTTTGTTCTGCAAGTTACCTAGTGCTGATTCTTGCTCACTGTGCTTGTTAGGCCCTCAGAGCGGGGCGTAGGCCAGTATACTGGGACGTGAAAGTGGAAGTTGTCCGGGCTCGATAGTTTCTGTCATGAGAAACTCAGGTGCATGATCAACAATATTGTGCAGTCTTGTGCTTGGGATCATAAATGAAGATGCTGAAATCAAATCAGAATTAAGCCCGCGGGGTGATGTTATAGCTGAGATCGAACAAAGTGCTTTGCAACTATTCCACTTTGTGGCAGTCAAGTTCTATAACACGACTTTATTCGCTGGATATCATCCCGCTCAGCAGGGGCTAGGGACCAGCCAAGTTCCAGGTCGTCACGGGAGGCGAACCTTCTGTAAGACTTATTAAAGGGAAGAAGTATGAAGGTATAAAGCTGTGCCGGACGATATTCAGATAAAGATCAAGATAACACTTGGGGGGCATTTATGAGACAGATTGGTCGGAACGACCAATCAACAAGATGGTCATGACTCTATTGGCAACAGTAATGTACAACAGCTATGGACACAAGGATGCCCTGTCCTAGCGAAAAAGGGTAGTTGAGGGAGCGGATTCGAGAACCCGGCCTATGCATGATGCCACTCATGGGGCAGCAGCAACTTATTATAACACCATCAGGCTTTGACCTTGTTCTTTTCAGCAGCCACCTTAACAGCCTCGTTGGTAGCCTTGACAGTGGTGGTAGCTTCTCTCCTCTGAGCCAGGAGCACCGCCCTCTTCTCCCGCAGGCGCCTCTTAGACTCTTCACGGCGACGAGCCTTGGCGACCCTGCGAGCTTTGAGCTCCCTGAAGTAGGCAGCGCGCTTCTTGCGGCGAGAGCGCATCCTGGCTCTCCGCGATTCCGTCTTTTCCGTGCCGGGGATAGTGCCGGCGTCACCAATGAGACGGCCAATCTCCCAGTTGGTCTCACGGTAGCTGTAGTCATCTTGAAGACGGAATACGCGGGTATTCATGCGTGCCTCGAGCTCCTTCTGCTGCTGGAGTCTCCAAGCGTCTTGCTTAGCCTTCGTAATGGCTCTTGCCCTGAGCTTCTGCTGGATCAAACGTGCAATAACCGAGTTACCATCTTTAAGGGGAATACGCCTTCTGAGATGTATTGGGAGTTTTGGCTTCGCGGTCACTGTCGTCTGCGCTGTCACCGAGACCCCTGTGGTCGTGGAATCCTCTGACTCGGTCGACTGCTCGGATTCCGGTAGACGCGTTACGGTGAGGGGGATGCCACTAGGGGATATGACCTCCTCGGAACGCTTCTCTTCCTTTTGTGGCACCGCCACAAGATTGAGCTTCCGCTTGCGGGGAGACCCCCGGAGGGTAGGGGAGCTTGTCGTCACGGTTGAAGGCAACGCCTATGTATTGGCGGCCGGGATGGCGATGGGGATCGCGGTAGTATTTGACGTAACCGGCAACGGCAGCATGGATAGTATGGTCACGGCCCATGATGGTGTTCTCGCCGGGGTGCCATACTGTGCCGCGCTGCTTGTAGATAATGTTGCCTGGCAGAACATACTGATCTGGGAACAAGGAGACGAGAGTCAGCCGACACGCCTGTCCGTTGCGGGGACCAACAAACTGGCCAACTGGACAACCCCCCATCACTGGTACGCGGGTAGGGAAAACGTACCGCCTGTCCTCTTCGCTCCCAGCTTCTTCGGAATGGTCTTCTTGGACTTGAGCTTGTAGGCACCCTGTGACTTCACTGTGGCATAGCGCTTGCCCTGGACCGCGGCATTGATCTCGGTTGGTGAGGCAATTCGAAGGCTGGCGAACCGATCTTCGAGACTGGTTGTCGTAGGCCGTGAAAGAGCACCTAGGGGTCGTGAGGCACTTGCAACAGCCCCAGCAACCCTCTGGAAGGGCCGCTGTAGCCGCGCGAGTTGCATAGCTTGCCGTTCGCGAACGTTCCTCGCAGCGACTGGGACTGAAAAAATAAGCGCCGAGGGGAGGGCGAGACTGCGGGACGTCGAGATCGCGGCCGCGATCGGGTTCAAGGGACCTGGAGACTGGACGCTATTGGGCTGGCGACGGTTGGGAGAGCGGCACTGGGTTGGTTGCAACGGTGAAGTTTTTTGCTGACTCAGCATCATATGTTGCTTGGCCACGAGAGAAGTTCGCTTACAAGCGCAGATAAGATAAGAGCGCCAAGGAACCGGGTCCGCCGCCCTTACTTGTACACCTGGCGTCATCAACCAACAAAGGAACTGCCAAAAGCTTCCCGATTCTGGCCCGGTCCAGTTCAAGCTATCAACCTTGATTAGTTCAGATTCCAAGAAAAAAAATTGTACCGTGCCATCTATTGAATCAGCCGTACTTGGTTTAGCGGCTGTCACACAGCATTCTTCGGATTGTTTACAATCGATATCCTATCGACAACCGACTAGCTCTGAGCAAGTCTCGAGGGTCAGGAGTAGATCTTCCTCGCGCCACGACTCCACGGCAGTGACGGTTCAAGATGCAATTACTCACCCTGGTATTTTTTGCACTTGCAAGTTCAGTCACTGCTCAGTTTAACTTCTTCGACCACATGTTTGGCGGCAGCCAACAGCATCGCCAACAACCTCAAAACGTCCCCAGCGACTCCTCGGTCTATCGCGCGCAGTACTCTCGAGCACATTGTGATAAGTACCTTTGTCCCGACACACTTGGTATGCTTCTCCCAGCACAAGTTTGATATACATACAAAGGGTTAACAAAAGCTGATATTGCCAATAGCATGTGTTCATTTTCCACATCATTGCCCCTGTCCTTGGCCATCCCATCAGGACAAGTTTGAGCTTGCCGAAGGCCAGAGGATATGTGTCTCCAAAGGTGGTTTCAAGGTTAACGAGGCAGCGAGGAAAGTCGAGCTGGCTCGTAAGGGGTTGTTGTAGACCTTAAGCATCATATCCTTTGGTCCGCTCCTATCCCCAGAAAGTCTCCATCAATGGGACCGCTCTAGACAAGTCGAAGTCCTCAGCGATACGTCGCCATATCAAACCATGCTCATTTGAGGTGAAATCTATGCAAACCCATCAATGGATGACCATGTCTGGAGTCGACTCAAGTCACAAATCCTCAACGCAGTATGATTAAGCTTTTCGAGTTGGAGGGAAGGGCGAGTGGCAGTCGAATAAAATCAGCTGAATAAAAACAGCTTTGTGAAACGCTAGGATATATCTTCATTCTCCACACCGCAGTTAACCATGGAAACTAAAAAAAAAGGGGGTTAAAAAAAGTGGCCCAGAAAAACAGCTATGAGTTGCGCCGACTTAGCCAGCGGTCGAAATTTCCACATCCAGGCAATATTTTCCATCGTAAACTTGGCACTTTTGTCTCCCTACGATGAACCGTTAACCGGTCTCGGCAATGGAGGAACGGGTGGCGCGGCGTTGCGGTCCTCGTCGTCGTCCTCTTCCTCGTCATCATCCACTTCCAGCTTCTCAGGGTGGCCAAGCAGCGCCGCGACATTCTTCATCTCGTAGTGCTTCTTGCGCATCTCCTCAAACCGGCGGTGCTTCTCGCGCTCCTCAGCACTCAGCCCGACCTCATATTCTTTCTCGTCTGCATCGTGCCCGCTCTCGTTGCTATTCACATGAACCGCGCGCGGCCGAGGCGCAAACTCATGTTCGGGAACTTCCTCTTCGGGTTCGCCCAAAGACAGCCCGGGAATCTCGTCGTCAGCTCCCGGGCGCCGTCGTGATGATTGTGCTGTTGAACCCTCGCCATCGGCGTGCTCTGATTCCAGCGGCTCATCTTCGTCGGACGGGTCTTCGGCGGGGTCATAATGCCTGGCATATGGGGTTTTGGGCTCGTTAATCTTCATGGTGCTGGTCCGCTCTTGCTCCGTCAAGTAGAGGTTCGCCTCATCCCACTTTAGCCGCTGGCCCTGCTCCTCGCCGCCGTTCTCTCGGGACTCTTTGGGTGGAAGGGAGCCTTGCCGGCGGAAGCCCAGTCGCGCTCCAGCACCTGATGAAGAACGCCGACGTCCTGCATTATATTGAGTGTTTGCGATGGTCAGTTCCTTGGTGTCCTTAGGCGTCAGATGCGCCGTGTCAATATTGCCAGTCGGCGATACAGGGGGAGCATCTCGATTCTTGTTCTTAAGAATTCCTGGTGTTGGGGAATCCTACAGTTAGCCAACAAACTCTGGTTCCGTGGATCCAGGGAATGTTGAGAACTTGACGCACCTTTCGGCCGCGGGGCATTTGGACCTGGAGGGGTGTGCAGCGGGGCGGGATTCGTTGCGCTTGTCATTGTCTCTTTGCTCCCTCAGCAGTTTGCTATGCGATTGGGGTCTTAGCTTGTCAGGCAAAGATATCGACGGTGATGCGCCGTTGGAAATTGTGGTTATGTAGAGAGGGGTTGAGGAGGGGTTCTTGGATGGAATGGACGGGAATGCGATGAGGAGCGAGTGCATGGACAGCTTCCTTGAGAAGCAGAGTCAGGTGGGGTGACCTTGGAGAGGTGACAAGGAGATGTGGGGCATGACCGGCATCTGACGGAGGCGCCTTGAGACCCGCCCGCGGCTCTAAGAGCTCCATGGAAGCTTCCACCGACATTGTTCAGCTCTACGGTAATTACATGGTTACCGAAGCACGTAGCCGTCAGATATCAATTTGGGAATTTAAGGGTATTACAAGAGCAAGACAAACTGAGTTCAACAAACACGTCGACGGGCGTGCATACAGACTGTAAGGTAAACTATATAGAGCATGGTACTCAGCACTAGTATTATTATACCTGTGGTAACGGATGAAATCTACCATGGGCGTTTTGGTGGTCACTTCTCCCAACTCGATTGTAAACTTAACATACAAAAGGACTATTAGCATGCTTGGATCCCGTCTTATGGAGGCATCACCGAAATGGGTATTGTAGGCTAGCTCAGCTGTTCCTGTGTCTTCATCTTGGAGTGTTCGCGGTAAATCTCGATGAGGTTCCTGTCAACATCTTCCTCGAACACATCAACTTTCGTGGTAGCGAACTTGCGTGCGCTGACGCCCCGCTGAAATAGGACATCCATCTCGGCAAAGGATCGTCCAGATGGCTCAGGGACTCGGAAGTATGTGTAGATGATGCAGAGGAAGCAGATGCCACCCTGTACACATCTGTGGTCAGTGCTTTGGTGCTTGATTGATGACTCTCAAGAAGATGTTGAAGAGGACTAACCCAAAAGAAGCCGGTGAAGTTACTCCAGCCCCATGCTCCTGGGTTTAGCATGTACGGGGTCAAAACGCTGCAAATTATACCAACAATGATGCTAGAATGTGTTGTAAGCAACTGGAAGCTTAAGTATTCGGTTGCAACAAGGCTCGATGCTAGGCCATCTGGAAACTTACTAGAGCACACGTCCGAGAGCGACTGTCTTGATCTGCAAACGGCGCGTCGAGATCTCGCTTACGAGCGAGTAACAGACAGTGCCCACAGTCAGTTGATACACCAATGCCCAACATAGCATGATGCTTCCGGTGGCAATGGAGCCTTCTCTCCGGTGTGTCTCGGGAACAAGTCCCAAAAACCCAAGAATGAACAGCATGGTGCAAAGACCACATAACCCGTAGAGATAGAGAGATCGGCGACCGATACCGCGGCTCATCATGAACCAAGCCCCAAATACGCCGACCATGTTCATACCATACTGGCCCAGAGCAAACCCATAGGCGCTGTTTTCGCTAAGACCAGCCTGCTTGAGAAAGTATGTTGAGTAGTTGGAGAAAGAATTGCCGCTCAGGTTCTGGATGGCCCAGACCATACAAACGATCTTCACCAGGGAGGTTCAGTCAGTAAAACACGTCCCATTGTCTGCAATAGACGGGAGAGACAGAGCGAAAGCTGGAATCACTTACCTCTGTCCGTCTCAAATCATTGCCCTTGAAGCAATCCCAATAGCTCGCGCCACTCGTCGTCTTCTCTTCTAGGGCTGTAGTATGGACCATCATATCCAGCGTCTCGTCTGGGTCAAAATTGGCCTCGCGGCTTAAGCTGGTCAGGCGGAGTAGCGCGGTCCTCGCCTGGGTCAGTTTCCCCTTCCGAACAAGCCACCATGGAGACTCCGGTGCAAAGAAGATGCCGATGGCAAGAGGAAGGGGCCACATCCATTGCAGGGCGTATGGAATGCGATAAGCCCACTCGTTGTGTTTGTCTAGCATGGACATAATAACACCGATGCCAATGAGCTGACCGAGACCCCAGCAAAAGTTGACATAGGTTGTCAGGTAGCCGCGCATGGCAACGGGGCACACCTCGGAAGCGTAGGTGACAGTAAGGGTTTGAAACACGCCCCAGGGCTGGATTCCAGTGTCAGCACAAAAACGTCTCCCCTAATGCGACATTGCCAGCGAACGATTTCGAGGAAGACAGGGATCCAAGTCTTACAATACCGCAGAGAATTTCAGCAGCCAGCAAGGTCTGAATATTTTTAGCAGTGAAGAAAAGGGCAGTCCAGGCATTGATGAGCATCAAGCATGCTATAACCGTCCATCGATACCCGAAGCGCTCTGAGACCCAACCGTTTATTAGCAGGCCAATTAGTTCGCCAACGTTGGCGCCCTGGATTGTGATTCCACGGTCAGCATGTTCCTCTTACGTGTGGAGTTCATCTCATCTCTCGCGGTGCTCCAGCCGCAAGCCTGCGACGTCAAAGGCGTGCAAAGACGCCAACAAAGCCAGAAACCAGATATTGAAAGTACACACATTACTGAGCCCAGCTTGCCATCGAGCGGGAACTTCCCAGTCATCAGAGTTTGGGAGCTGCTCCCCGTATTTTCGGTTGAACTGGGGGAAGGCATCTTTTCGATGGCATCGCAGAATTAATCAGTTATTCAGCCGCTTCCTCAGTTGGTAGCTCGGGCCAAGGCGGAGCACCTACAGAAGTTGTTGATCAGACAGACGTCGTAGCCTTCCATGACAATGCAAGTCGAGATCAGGACGCTCCAGGCGATAGCCTTTGGGTACAGACGTATTCCCTGAAGTAGAGTCATCTTGTGTTCCTTCTCCGTTGCCGTCTTAGCGCCTTGGATGATGCGGGCAGTGGCCTTGATGCGGTCATGGTCCTGCTGCTCATCACATTCCTCCTTCTCGCAGTCAATCAAGAGGACACGAGGGACGCCATCGGCGGCAGCCTTTTCATCGGACGCCATTGAAGCGGTGCTCGCTTGGTCGCTGCTGCAGGCGAATCAGACTTTACAACAACTCAGATCCTAAACCCAGCTCCAAAACTTAGAAACGAAATCCAGATCGTTTCTGCGCTTGCCACATCCGGCCGAATCCCTACCACCATGTGCTCCGGGGAGGCTCTAAGTTCAAACCAGTCCTCATCAGTATCAGTCGGGGGGTATAAGCTTAAAGGGTGATTCCCATTCCCGGATCCAAATACCGCCACGGCGGACTCCGGCAAAAAGAATGACTCTCGAAGATCCAGAATATCCAGACAACACCCAATGACGGGCAGCAGGTGGATGAAAGATGTGGAGTGACAGTGGGGTACAGAAGATAAGCCGGCATGGAAGGATGCTCCTGCTTGCTAGTCAGAACTCAGAACTCAGAGGTTGGTGATGAACTTTGTCACGGCGTTTCTCGACGGCTTGTCTGTGATCTGCCCCATGCAGGGCTGCAGCCGTGTAACGGGAGGGCAGATCCGGGGTTGGCCTCCATTGTTTCGATCGAATGCTGCGGCGGGAGTTCTGATACAAGTGAATCAACTGGGTCTCAGAAAAGGAAGGTCAATTACACAGCTGTGTTAAGTGAAAGTGCAAGCAAGAGTCCTGAGCCGTCAAGGTTGTGTGCAGGCAATTTTACGTTGTTGAAGTCGCTGATACTGCAACCACGGCAAGTCGGCACTGGCGACAATTCGGCTGGGCGGAGTACTCTCCTGTATACTTTGCATTGATTACGGCGACAGCTTTTTGCCGAATACTTGAATCTCACCTCACAATTCACAAACCTCTGGCAAGAAAAGACCGAGGGGCCTGGACGGCGTGTCTCAACTCTCCTGAAGCTAGAGCCACCCGCTGGCTTGTGGGGGTAAGCGGGACAAAGTGGGGGCATTTTGGATTTGGCTATGGATTTGGGCAATGCCGATGAGAAGGGGATCGGTGGACGACATGCAACCCGAAGCGCCGCACACATTCCATGATGCCCCACATGCTCTGGGCCAAGCTGGACGCATGGAAGCATGAAACGTCAACATCAACAGGACAACTCAACGGTTCGGCAAACTGGCGACTGGACAGCAAGGTCAGCGGCATCATTATGGCTCGGCAGATGACTCTGTTGTTGGTCGACGCTCGTTACTGGCGGGCTGATAAGCCAGAGCTCACCATTAAGTACTATCAACCATCACTACCACTGCAATCTGCATCGTGTCTCACCTGTGGATTGAACTATTTGTAAGCAGAGAGGCTAAACCGGACACCAGTCAGAAGAACCTCAGAAGAGGCGCCATCATGTTTGTTGACACAGTCTAAGACCTTTTGTCTATTGTGCGAGTTCAGGTCGTCATTTATTGTTGTCGTAGCCCTTCACTCTATTTCTTTCCGTCATCGACGCCTTTCCGAGGCAATAATAGACAAGAATATCCCAACAAGGCCCTTGCCGGTCCCGCAGACTCGGGTAGGGCAAAGAGCGGGACATGCGTGCAGGATGTCTGAAGTTGGACTTAATCTTGCAAAAGCTGGCTTGGGGAACAAGTCTGACCGAGCAGCCATGCAGCACCGCATTCTTCCCTCTCGGTCTGCTCGGCGATTGGACGGCAGGGACAACAAGCAGCTCCAGGTGTCTGTTGTCACGAGCTGGACGTGGCCTGGCCGGACATGTCGGGCATGGCTGGCATGGCTGGTGTGCAGATCAGGCGGCGGGAACGTGTGGGAGAGAGTCAGCTGCCACTCCAGCCTGGCCGTGTGCTGCCCCGGCCTGCCCCAGCGCCCCAACGCCCAGGCCTTGAAGGCGGAAAGACATGCTCCTCGCTCCCCCGCCGCACCGCTCTGCAACGCCCTTTTTCTTTTCGGAGTAGAATTACCTACCCGGATGCTGCCTTACTGCACTCGCCGAGCATGTTGAATCCGTTTGGGTGAGAGTGCAGCTGTCGATACAGCCAGCTGCCAATGCCATCCTCCGCTTCAGCCACCTCCGGCCCGGCCTTGGGGCCAAACGCTCCGGGTCTCGGCCCAGTCAGGGCGAAGTTTGGCTGGTAAGTCGTACTCCAAGCCCGTATGTCCTTTTAGTTGCCCGGCCCGTAAGCCCTCAATACGTCTACGGTCCTTGTTCCGTGATCATGGCCAACGTCCATACTCCCTCACGTCCAACTTCAAGCTGTTCATCACGCGAGTCGGATGTGCAGAGGGCTGTTGGCTTTGGGACCCAAAGATGGGTTTGGGCCAGGACCGGTTGGCTCTGTTACAATCGTTTTGTCTGGCCTTGTGAAGGGATTTCCTACTGACACGGAAAATCTGCAAAATATAGCGTTAGTTGCCGCGAGCAGCACCTCAGATGTCCGTCTTTCCTCCTTCTGCACTTTCCTCGGACTCTTCGGACCCCGCTTTGGCTGGGTTTGGTCCAATGCGGTGCCATGGTTTCGGGAAAATGATCCATGTTCTGATGCTGACGGAAATACTGTGCGAAAAGGCGACAGAGTAACACCTACCTGTGGCAGATGTCTCAACGCTGGCCGTGAGTGCCGGCCTCCCGGCCTCAAGATTCGTGTGACCACTGAACGTTCGTCCCCCTTTCCTCTCTCTTGCCTCTTATGCAATATCTCCGTTTTTACTTGTCCTTCGGCCGACATCTTGCTCTGATCGCCGCCCCCTGCACAATTCAAACTTTAACTGACCGTTATTGGCCTTGGTGCTACAGGCAAGTTCAAGTTCACACCCAAGCAAAAATGGGTGAAGACGCCAAGGAGATGTTTGTGTGCCCTTTCTCATATCAACTGAACTTACATGCCTTTCACTCCTTGAACGACTGGTTATCAACCTGGTGTTTAGTACTTCTCTGAATTCGGGACTAACCCACAACTAAAGTGATCTTTATCGACGAGACCAAAACAGCAGCTCAAGAAGCCTCTTCAAGTCCAGACAGTGATCTGGAGGATCTGGAACCCTGGGAATCCCCAAAGTCTTCCCCTTCCAATCATGCAAATAATCAGCGACTGCCACCGAACCATGAAACCCAGGCAATCACTCTTCGCCCTCAACAATCGCCCTGTGATCGTCCTCTACCACCTGCAATCCCCCCTGTGCCTTCTACCCCTACCTGGCCGCTCACCCACGAGAGAGATGTCTTCCTCTTCCGCCACTTCGTGGACAAACTGGCCAGTTGGGTACCGTACCCGACCATCCCGTTGTTGGACCGTGTGGTGTGTGTTTGAACACTGCCAATCTAACTGACCTTTCGTCTCCCTCAGCTTGACCTCTGCGATCCAAAGAGTATGCCTGAATCCCCTTTTCCTGCTACCGGTTTCTCTTCACTTCAGATTTGGTGAGTGGCATGTAATGCCTGGAATGTTAGCTAACAGAGGGATCCGGACGCAGGAACTTTCGAGACCGAGGTACCGCAACGAGCAAGAGCCTCCCCTATCCTATTGAATGCCATATTTGCTCTGTCGGCGCGCCATCTTGGGCAGATTCAGAAGAACCAGCAGTACGCCATGCTCGCGGATAACTACAATGCTGCCTGTCTACGCGACCTTCGGCAACAGGTTGGCTCCGAGTCGACTGAAAACCTGTTTGCCGCCGCAATCATCCTTCAGGTAGTCGAAGAAATAAATCTTAACGGTATGTCGGAAGGCGCACTCAACCCCTCAACACTAAGATCGGAGTCGATGAAATGTTCCGTTGGGGTTTCTCGGTCCTTTAAGTTCACAGATTCAGAAGCATGAAAAACTAATGCACAGGAATGTTGCAGCGCCTGTTGACCTCCCGGTGGGTGATAATGACACAGGTCACCTCAAGGGCATGTCCAACTTCGTCCACAGTCTCTCTCCCCAGCCCGGCACTGTTGCTGCCGCCTCATTCTGGGTTGGGCTGCGACAAAACATCTATGTCGCTGTTCGGAAGAAGCAGCAAGTGGCCATAAACCTTGTCAACAGTCTAGTTGATCGATCGCTCGAGGGGACAGACGACTGCAGCTGGGCCAATCGTGCTGTTGTTCACTGTGCAGATGTGCTCAATTTTTGTTACGGCCCAGGCCGAACCCGTGAGGAAGGGCAAGCTGATCTGGAGCGTCTAATGCGCTTGAACAAGGACTGGGGTAACCGTCGGCCGAATTCGTTCGATCCCGTTTACAAGCAGGACACGGATTCTGTGCCGTTTCCGGAGATACTATATCATCGGAGTTGCCAAGGCAAGTAATTCCAACCCAACTTGGATGACCAAAATTGTGGGCCTCGGAGTATGTGCTAACATTTGATGCCGGACGGCGTCGTCGCAGTCATCGGCGTCCAACATCATCTTCTCGCAAAACTGTTCTTGCTGGACCACAGACTGCGATCCGAAACGCACCTCACACCAAATGAGAGAGATGAAATTAAGGCATATCACGACCTTGCGTATTGTCTCATGACCCAGGCACTAACCTCACGTTTTGTGTCCATGCAGAAACTCATAAGGAACACGCTACGAGAGGTGTGCGGCATCGGGCTGAGCAATCAATGGACACCGCCTGGCATGTTCACGGCCTGCATGGCTATTGAAGCCTGTAAGTTCCATACCCCCGGGGACCTAAGTTGCTGGCTCGGGGAAACAGTACGATAACCAACATGTGTGCTAGTCGGCGACTACTTCCACGAACGTCAATACCAGGATGCCATGATCGATTTACTCGGGATAACTCAGCGAGATCACGCACGACCCACGAGGGGCGTGATCCAAGAGCTCTTCCAACGTTGGGGGCGGTCACCTCCTCAAAACTTGGCTCTAGATCTGCGTTTGACTTAGCCGGCTGTGGTGTCCGGTAATGTCTTTCTTTCAAACTTCGTTGAACAATAGTCTGTCCTTGTATACTGCTATTCATTGGTGTCGATATTGTGCAATTTATGCGGAGTATGGACGTTGAGCAATGGCAGGGAGGAATTAAAGGGACATGAGTAGGAAGTTATGCAGACAGAGTGGGAGTGATTTAGAGCAAACGTCGAGTAATACATAGCTTTTACGCAAGCAATAACTGGTACTTAGTCCATATCGCATGTAGGACTTTAGCCGGGCCGTCTGCTAGTAGACAGGATCCAGTCCTCGACTCTTTTATACCCCGATTCCAGCCCAAAGCTGCAAAAACGGCTTTCATTAGGACTATAGCTAAGCCAGCAATACCCGTGTGGCACTTATGAGCTCATTGATTGCGCTGGATATCCGAACCCTGGGATTCAAGACCTTCTCCAAGTTGTCCCATGTTGACGATAGTGTAAATTAGCTGAGACATCGTAGCGATGGCACTGAATCCCAGCTTATCTGGCTCCTTTACTGTTACCGTGGTAAGTTCGGGTTGGCACGGGTCCGGTTTGGGCCCATAACCGCATGTAAAAAGCTTCAGGTCAGCTGAGCACTTGTTGACAGACACGATACCTCTGCGTTTAAACCATCCTTTGTAGTTAATGCCTTTGTAGTAAACGTTACCGCCGAAACCGGTGATCAGATGGTTGCCGCCTGCGCCTGAGCGAAACCGTCACGGGTGACGAAGCGCCTTTGGCGGTTAGTGACTCGGTAGGTCTTGCCTGGCGGCCCGCAGATTAGGAAACTGTCTTCGCCATGACACCCCATTGGTCGATGTACAGCCTAGACTGCGTCGGGGAAATCTTGCCCAATTTTGAATGGACGAGGGCAGACCACCGTTTGAGCAAAGCCCGGGCTCGATCAGCCTTCGCCACACCTAGCATTGTCGAGTCCAAGATGAGGAATTTTCGCCGGATGTAGCCCGAAACCCTTGACACTATCGCCTCGCCGGCTCGTGTTTAACACTATTCGTACGCAGCAGGCAGCCATGCCGCGCCCCGGTGGCCACGTGGGATTCGTCGGAAATGGCACCCGTCCATTGCCCCAGGCTGATGGCCCCTGACGTCTCAGGACCCAAGATGCCGGATCGCATCTCGGGTTACTTAGGTGGGTATAACGACACATCCAGAACATCATCACATCCACCAGTTCCTCCCCGGTGTAACGCGAATCAGTGTCAATGCCAGCGACATGTAGTAATTGCCAACGCCGTCGGCTGTCCTGACGTGTCGTATCTCTTACCACCTTCTTCCTGGCGGTGTCCGTGGGCGATGGCCTGATGTCTTCCCGACATCGCTGGGACGGATTTCTCAACGTCCGTGCAAAAGATGCAAGAGATGACAAGTCCAGTGCGTGCCGTGTGAGGTTGGAGACACAGGTCTCTGTGTATATAAACGGCTTCCCCAATCTGTTTCTCGTCTTGAGCCGCTTCCTGGTCCTTTCAGAGACAAGGAAAGTCTAGGAAAGCACCCTGTGAGACCGAGTACTTTCACTCCTCACACTCTATCGGGTTTCCTTGCACGTAGTCTTTGACATCAATCGATCAGACATTATCCAAGCTCGTTCAGCCCAAAGAGGAGCCCGGACCATATCCAGTTTCCGCGCTCAGTCTCCATGTCGTCAGCTTCTGTGGACGCTATGCCAGTGTGCCGGGACGGACTGGCTCTTGAGGCCATCTCGGACGCTGTCGACACTGTCAACATCCTTAAGGGAATCTCTGCTAAGAATGAAGAGATTGATTATGACGCCGAGTCTCGATTCGATGCCGGAAAGGACAAGTCAACATTCCGCCGGTACAACGAAGCCTGCGAGAGAGTCAAAAACTTTTACGCTGAACAACATGCGAAGCAGACGTTGGCCCACAACCTGAACGCCCGTGAGCGCTTCTATTCGCCATCAAGAAAGAGGCCAGAGATGAGCGTTTGGGAAGCCATCGAAATGCTCAACGCTCTGACCGACAACAGCGACCCAGACACGGAGATGACGCAGATTCAGCACGCCTTACAGACTGCCGAGGCCATCCGCCGAGATGGCAAACCGCGTTGGATGCAGCTTACAGGCTTGATTCATGATTTGGGCAAATTGATGCTTTTCTTGGATGGCTGCTCTGAGGGCCAGTGGGATGTGGTGGGTGACACGTTTCCCGTTGGCTGTCGGTTCGACGAGCGGTGCATCTACCCCGAGCTGTTTAAAGCCAATCCGGACTCGCAGCACCCTGTCTACAGCACAAAGTACGGCATCTACGAGCCAGGGTGTGGCCTCGACAAGCTGATCATGAGCTGGGGCCATGATGAGTATCTCTACCTCGTGGTGAAGGACCAGAGTACCTTACCACGTGAGGCACTGGCCATGATTCGCTTCCACTCGTTCTATCCGTGGCATAGGGAAGGCGCGTACCGTGAGTTTATGGCTGAAGGAGACGAGGAGCTTTTGAGAGCAGTCCGTGCCTTTAACCCTTATGACCTGTATAGCAAGACTGATGATGTTAAGAACGTCGAAGAGCTCAAGGTAAGATGGAGCCCCTAAGATCGAAGGGCGACGAACGGCGACAAATTACTGACAAGCAACATAGCCATACTATCTGGAGCTTATTGATGAGTTCTTTCCCCAGAAAATCATCAAGTGGTAAGCGCCTTCTCAGTAGGCGCGAACTCAAAGGTTGCAAAAAAGCATTACCTGATCTCAGGCTTGGAGTTATGAAAACGTGGGGTTTTACATATTGTACTTATATTTATTCTTCTGTGTATGGTTCCATGTTATTTCATGGCTCGGCTTGAAGTTTAGATGGAAAAAGAGTTATTAGTTCAGTCTTGAGGCTTGCAAGCAGGCACCTTCTCGGCTATGATACTAGGCTATTTTATATTCTGCAGATACAATCGAGCAACTAACTAATATCTTTGCAAGGTTTATCTCTCCTGACCAGAGCCCAAACCCTCTAAAGTTTCGTTAATGAGAAACTAAGTAGGCGATTAATTGTTGTCTAGATAACCGTTTGGTGACGCTGCAAACTGTAGGACAACGGTACACACCGTTTCTTTGGTAAACGGTTGCCTAGGATTACACTGTCTTTAGGAAGCCCTTGACTGGCAAAATATTTGGGTTCTCCGTAGGTAACCGGTAGGGCGATACTCTGGGGGTAAAGCTGGCACTGATACACAGTGTTGTGAGCTAGGTAAGACAGCTGATAAGGTGCCTTCTAATAGAAGAGCCTGCAAATATAGACTCGGGAAACATCCAAAATGCAAAGCCAGAAGTTTTGGCTATGGTCACCATATAACATCCACAACCACAAACGATATGATAATATGACCGACCACAACAATGGCAGTAGCAATAACGATAGCGATAATGATGGTAATAGAGGTATCTGACCCGTGATAAGTGCTACAACCAATAAGTGTACTGTTACGGCTCATGTGCAGGCCAGCAGCTGCGCCGCAGTAGTGGCGAGGAAACCAATGAAGAGGCTCTGAATGGGGTAGGTAAAAGGGTGGACTAATCATAGGCAGGGAAAAGTTGTCACCAAGAAACGTAGGTGATCGACCTCCTCGACCCTAGACGATGACCCTGGGCATGGTTGACGACAATCTGGACAGCAAGACAGGCATGCCAACGACCTGCGGCTATAAATGCGCATAAAACTACCTATTCTCAGAATATAATGAGGACTCTCCAATCAGCAATAGAAATAGTTGTCAACCAACAACTGGTAACCGCAGTAAATCACACGCACAAATGTTTGAGGACCCCAATCCCTCAGGTTCTGCAACCTGGTCACTACCTTCGAACCATCTTAGGAGGTTGTGTCACGGCCAATGGAATGAGGGAGGCCCTTCCAAGAAAAGCAGGACGGGAGAAGCCAAAAGGACAGATCAAGTTATTATCACCGCCAAGACCAAATTATCACGGTTCGATACTCAAGTATCACCATAGATACTCATGATGGCAGGAGTAATACTGGAAGAGACCCTCGTGTATATAGAACCTAGCTAGCTGCCCGTTACGAGGAATTTCTCAATCAGCAATAAAAATAGTTGTCAATCAACAACTGGTCACCGCGGTGAATCCCATACACTACTGTGTGAGAACCCCAGTCCCTCAGGTTCTATATAACCTGACCACTACTTTCCAATCGTTATCAAAAGTTGTGCAGGTTTTAGAATCGCCATATTTATGAAGTAGTTGAAGCAACCCACTTGCCTCCTGGTATCATGATAGAAGTATAGAAAATATTACGGGTTACTATATAATGATGTTATAATGATGTACCATTCCACAACGTCCTAAGATTGGTTCGAAGGTGGTGACCAGGTTGTAAACCTGAGGGACTAGGGTCCTCACACAGTAGAGCATGTGGTCGACTACAGTCACCAGTTGTTGGTTGACAACTAGTTTTATTCTGGCTGAGTAAGTCCTGTAGTTCTGGAAACGGGAGACTCCATATACAAATTCGTACTCGAGGACTGTTGGTATTCCTGCCGTCCAAATTATCATTGACCAAGCTAAGGATTATCATTAAGGGTAGAGGTCGATTATCAGTGGTTCTTGGTAGTGATAATCGTCACAACCAGCAGCGACTCTATCTGGGTGAGTAGCTTCAGTGCAACTTACTGATCGGAGAAGGTAATGGTGAACCATCCAACTCGGATATTCGCCCCAACAACTGAACATTAGGAAAGTGTTCCTCAACACCCGAGGATGTTGACTCTCAACGGTCTGTGCTGTTGAGGAAGAAGGAAGGGAATTCACAAGAGCGCATATGATGTATATAGATTCCAAGCAGGGCCATCTGGCCCAAGAAATTATCCAGTTAGCAATACAAACAGTTGCTTACTAACTGGTATCTACAACGGCCACTTTAGTTGTGTGAGAACTCCTGTCTCTCACTCCACGAGCCTGGACCCTTTCGAACCCGTCTCAGGAGGTCTGTCTGGATCGTTACAGTAATAATTTCTTGCCTTGATTGTTCTGGTTTCTCGGCCCACCTGGAAGTTCATCATCACTACTTCAGGCCAGCTGCTGATTCGCATATGGGCCGAAGTAAGTAGGAAAGTTAATACAAATATTGTTAGGAGCAGTGTACAGCTAGATATCACTAATTAGGCATGGATTAATTAATAGTAAAATATAGCTTAGGCTATAGGAGCTATCTGTACCTAATTTTCAACTGGGAAAGGAGATAGTAAGTATCTAGCTATTGGCTTATACAAAGAAAACATTAGGTATATCATTGTTTAAGCAATAACAAGGACATTATGAGTCAACAAGTAAGCAATATGTATTTACAAAAAAAGGAGTTTAGCTAAAAAACTTAGTGGAATAGTACTGACGTACTTATTCTATCAATAAAAAAAATAAGTTTGGGCTAAGAATCCTTCCTTGTCTCTTCTGCCAAGACCTTTCAATCTTTCGTCGGAGACTTAGATTGACAATCTTTCATTATTGACACTTAAGCTCTGACGGTACCTTTCGTCCAAACCCCTTGTTTCTCTTCCGCTTGATACTTTCTGTTGGCCGTGACAGCTTTCGTTGGATTTACTAATTAGAGGCTTTGATAACATAGCCTGACTGTTATATATAATAAGCTAAAAAGGAAGCGAAGGTCCGAAAGTTGTTTACATAATAGAACGTTCTTTAATACAATGACTATTTAAAAAGTGCTTTATGATCATTAGAACAAGTGTATGACAATTCCACATACTCCTGAAAAGGGTTTAATGGTAGTTGCCAGGTTGTAGAACCTAGGAGACAAGGACTCCCGCACAGTCGGAGAATGTTCACTGCGGTCACCAGTTGTGTTGGGCCAACTTTCTATTGCTGACCGAGGAGTCCTCATCATGATTTCTGGGGAACGATTCTATATACATATATATATTCGAGAGTCATGGCATGCCTGCTCTGCCATTCAGACTATCGTCAACTTGGTTGACGATTATCATCGAGGGTAGAGATTGATTATGGTGTTTCTTGGCGCCGACAATCTTTCCTTGCCTGCGATTGGTCCGTCTCCAGATTCTAGGGTGCTGCCTTTGCCTACATGGACGACCATGCTCAGCACACATGGAGCCGTGACCCTTTTAAATTAGTGTACCACGCCTCCCTCCGTGTTGGTGAGCTGTGCGAGAAAGCGCAGGGCCTCAGTCTTAGGATTGACCCAGGAAGACCGACGCCTTGTACATTCCCCTGCGGGGCAAAGGTGTGAAGAAAACAAGAATGGACACATCCAGAATCCATGTAACTGGTGGAGGGCAGGACGTCGTGCCATCTCACTCCATCAAATGGCTAGTAGTTACTCTCGACTCACGCCTCAGCCTCAAAGCACAGGTCTCGGCAAGAGCAACAGCCACGATCGCGGTAGCTGGCCTTCTCACCAGGATCTGCAACACTCGCCGCGACCTCCCCTCAGCAGCGGCCCCACGAATCTTCCGCGGTGCAGTGGTACCTTCGCTTGCATATGGATTAGTGCAGTTGGACCCAGGCCCTATGCGAGCGGGTTCCAACGGCAGACTTGTACCTACACACACTGAGTAAACTTTCGGGATCGCGGGGCAGGTGATTAACAGGACCTTACGCGCTTTCTTCCCGGTGTGGCGTAATATCCAGACCCAAATGCTCTACTGGCTGGTTGGAACTCCGCCGGAACACATTTGGAGTCTGGAGCGCTACAGGTGGCGATCTCGGGCTGAACGTCTCCCTGCCGGCCATCCGATCTCCATTGGACTCGCCGCAAAGCCATAGAATGAATGTTACGTTTACATCAGCTTGCGCATGGCGTCAGGCCTAGCTAGGAGCCCTGGGAACCAAACCGGCCCGGCCTACGAGCCTGGCTTAGTCTCCAAACCAGTCACGCAACCTAAACCTCCTCGAGCGCCACCATTCGATATGCAACGATGGTGGGCAGCGAATAAGCCAGCTTCCTGTCTTTGGGATGGCTACTCATTCAAAAGATTCCTTGGAACTTCCTAGACACATTCTAGGCCGTTGGACACAGGGGGTTTCTGGTCATGGAGACTTTGCCGAGTACCATCAACGTTTTGGCCACCCCCGGAGGCCATTAAGACATGCATGTGCGGTCAGTTTGTCCGCCGCGGACACCTCGATATGTGCCCTATCGCTAGCCGGGGCAATCCAGATGCAACCCGGCTCAATGCGCGCGCTTTTTACAAAACCTTTAATTTTATACCTAAGACGGGTCAACGAGTTTCGTCAATATCGAGGGATCATCGACCCGCTGACCCTCAAACCCATTCCCATCCATCCAGTTCCTCCTCATTTCTCCTTTCCTGCCAGAGCAGACGAAGATGAGGAGTTAGACCTACTTGAGATTATTTTCCCACAGGCTTTCCCTAACGGGTAACTGTTCCTTTTCTCCTTTGTAAAGAATACGCTTTTTCTTTTCCTTTAAACGCGCAGGTTTCTGCCATTAGGCTTTCCCTGGCGCAGGACTTTATGAGTTTTAAGTATCTATAGATAGTATAACTATGCCTGCCGGCGTCGTGGGCACGGCCCAGTACCCCACTAGGGTAGAACGTGGCCAAAGAAATAAAAATAATAGTAATGATAATAATAAGTTAGGGTAGTAACAGTACAGTTGACTCTGTGCGTTAGTGCTCCTTCTCCATGAGATGAGTCAAGGGAAATACTGCAATCCACTGGTGAACTAGGAGAGTTGTTCTTAAGACGTCGGAACCGTTTCTCGGCTTGAGACAGACAAAATTTAATGATTCTTATTTGATTGTCACTACAGCTGTCTTGATATACCGTTCTGCTCAGGAACTCCATAAACTAAGGAATAATAGTTACGGAGGAAATGGCTGAGGATCGGTAAGCGGGTATACCCTCGAAGCCTCTAGTGTTGGAAAAGCTGGGCACAAATAGGTACATATGGTCGACGTCAATCAAGAAATTCCCTCCTTCCGGGAGTCATGCCGCCAAATTATCGTGGTCAGCCTTATAAGATCCTAAAATATTGATAGGGACTGGTATTGAGGTGCATTCTACATTTATCTGTTATAACTGACAATAGTACATATTCTCATCTCACGCACAACACCGGTGCTTATTCAAATGATTGTGTAAGGACTCCATGAATCAGGAGTAAAGTGGGTTTAGGGCTTGTTTGGCATCATTTGCCAGAGTAATACTTTACAACCCATAGTTGCATTGTTCCAAGAATTAACAAGAGAGTCAAGTAGATGACGGCTCTAAGTGTTAGAGATACTAATTAATAAGGACGACAAATCTTCGGTTAAGAGACACTTTCTTCGAAAAAAACCAGTCTCATTTTCATAAAATGCGTCTAGGCGCTAGCTTGTAAATGGCCATAAAAATATCTTTACAGTTAAACGCCCTATCTTTCACCGGTTTTATGAAATTACTATAGCTTTTTTGCTCAAAAATAGGAAACTATGATCACAATCGATCTCTAACTACACTTAAAGGAAAAAGAAATTATTCGATAGTTCCTAAGCCCTGCTTGACTTAGCTCAACGTTATATTGATATATCCCTCTCTATACATTCAACAACCTGTAACTCTTCTGTATTCTGATATTTATGATATGATATACCAGGTATATAATAGTTCACGATGCATATATCCGACGTCTAACCTACGAGATGATTATTTTCTTCAAAGCAACCTGTATCACAATTCACAACCTCCTATGATTGTGTTCAAGGTAGCAGCCAGGTTATAGAGTCTGAGGGACTGGTTCTTTACATAGTAGTAGTTTATGGGATTTACTGCGGTCACCAGTTGTTTTTTGACATCTGTTTTTATTGTCGATTGAGGTCTTGTCATCATGGCCCTGGGTGGTGGGGTATTTTTGTACATATGTTCTATTCGAAGTCGTCAGGGTGTCTGCCAGAGTGAAGTGCCTGCCAGATATATTCTTCATCATTTTTGGTAACGACAATAATAATCATTATGTAAATGTGGACTTCATTCGAGATATAGGATATTTATCATCTTCGATTGAAAAAATCCTAGCTAACCTATATGACAATTCCCCCTCTCGCAAATGGGTTTCAAGATAGTAGCCAGATTTTCCAACGTAAGGGACTAGAGTTTTCACAAAGCAGAGCATATGTTTCATTGCGGTCACTAATTGTTGGTTGACAATTCTTTCTATTACTTAACTAGCGAACTCTTTCATCCATTTACCTGTTATACTCGAAACTTTTCTGTTTTTCGTACTACAAGTCTTTTAGTCTTCCATCAGAAATTTTTTTAGTTCTGGAGATCTTTTATTAATAGCTTCGCAATCCAAACCTCTTCGAGCGCCACCATTTGACATGCAACGATGGTGGGCAGAGAATAAACCAGCTTCCTGTCTTTGGGATGGCTGGTCACCCAAGGGCTTCCTGGAACTTCCTAGACACGTTCTAGGCCGTTGGATTCAGGAGGTTTCTGGCCATGGAGATTTTCCCGAGTATCAACGACGCTTCGGCCACCCTCCGGAGGCCATTAACAAATGCTTGTGGGGTCAAATAGTTCGCCCCGGACATCTTGGTGTGTGTCCTATTGCTACTTGGGGCAACCAGACGCAGCCCGGCTCGATGCTCAAGCTTTCCACAAAACCTTTAATCTATACTTGAGACATGTCAATGAGCTTCGCTAATATGGTGAGATCCTTAATCCATCAACACTAGAGCCACTCCCTATTCCTCTAATATTCTTCCTCGTCTTCCCTAGCTTGCAATCAGAGCAGACGAAGACTAGGCGTCAGAACCACTCGAGATCGTTGTTCCACAAGCTCTCCCCAATGGATGATTCTCCTTTTCTTCTGTTGATTGCAAAGAATGTCTCTCCTCTCTTCTAGTAATCTACGCGATGGTTTCTGCCAGGAAGCTTTCCCTCGCGCACAAGGGTTCAGTAGTAAGTAGTTATCATTAGTACAGCTATGCCTGCCGTCGTCGTGGGCACGGCCCCAGTAACCCAATAGAGTAGAACGTGGCCGAAAATAGAATCAGCATCACATCATTTCCTTGCCTGCGACTGATCCGTCTGCAGATTCCGCTCAGTACGACCTTAATAGTCTTCCCTCCGCTGCTGCGGCGCGGCTGCTGGTCCGCATCTAGGCGGCAACATGTGCCAAAAAAGCACTAATGATCGAGCACAACACCTTATCATTGAATTGATGGTAATTGGAATAATAGAGTAGGCATGTCAACAACTCTTGGTATAAATATGGAAATAAAATCGCTTCCCACAGGGCCACGATGAGAGCTATAGTCAGCAATAGAAATAATTGTGAAATAACAACTGGTGAGCTCGGTGAATTCCATACTTCACTGCGTTAGAACCCCAATCCCTCGGGTTTTACAACCTGCCTACTACCTTTGAACAATCCCAGGAGGTTGTATAGTCGTTACATTTTCTCTACCCCCTTTTGTGTGCTAGAAGTACCTGCCCCTTTAACATTTTAACCCTACTTCCTGTTATATATATAGATAAGGTAGTTAATGAAACGCAAAAGCAACGGATGGCAAGTTCTTACAGTTAGTAACTCCGTTGGTAGTTTAACGATCCAGACAGACCTCCTCGGATGGGCACGAGAGAGTCCTGGCTGTTGGATTAAGAGACAGGAGTTTTCAAACTTACCAATGTGGCCGTTGTGGCTATTAGTCGGCAAGCAACTGTTTGTATTGTTGACTGGAGAGTTTCTTGGACCAGATGGCCCTGCTTGGATCTATACATACTTCATGCAATCTTGTGGCTTCGCTTCCTTCCTCAACAGCACAGACTATTGAGAGTCAACCTTGAGTCTTGAGAAACAATAACCCAATGTTCAGTTGTTGGGGGCGGATATCCGAGTTTGATGGGTCACAACTCTCTTCTATTCCGATTAGAGAGTTGCACGGAAGCTACTCTAAATACTAGTGCTCCAAGTTGATGATACTTAATTATAACTACTATTCTTGTGGTTTAAAATTCTATACGCTGTTAGAATATCTTTATGATAGTCACTAAACGAAGTACACCTATTTCACGATCGTAGTATCTTATTTATTCTTATCAGCCATTTAATATTCCCTAGCCAATATAGCTTTAAAAGACTTATAAAAGAACAATATCGGTTAGTGAAAAGGGGGCGAGGGTTGGAATAGGTTTCAGAATGCTATAGACGAGTTTTCTGACGATGCCAAAACCTCGTGAAACGGGTTGAAACTTAGTGGCCATGTTGTAGAACCTGAGGGACTGGGGTCCTTACACAGTGAAAATATAGGGTTCATTTGCATTCACCAGTTATTGGTTGACAACTGTTTCTACCGCTAACTGGAAAGTCCTCGCTAAGGCCCTAGGGACAGGTGATTCTATATACATTTATTTATATTCAGAACCATCAATCTGCCTTACCTTCTGCCATTACCTGTTTTGGCATTGAGAATTTCTCGCAGTTATCGCGGTATTTCGCAGTGCGAGAATTGCGGTAATTGTGCCTTTCCATTTGATTGGTCGGGCTCTTGACTTCACTTGGAATCTTCCTATTGGTTGCCTCCTACGCCGTCTGCAGCCCATACCAACCGTAACAAGTTTATATCTTCTATTAACAAGGCTTCACTATGATGTTCAAGATATGAGAGCGTAGAGAAATCTGTTTCGTACCGTTATTTCTCATTAGAAGAGGGAGGGATGGCACAGTTGGAGTGCATTGCTCCTGGAAACATCTGCCGTGGTCCGGAAGGTCATCGGTTCAAATCCGGCTCCCTCCACCTCGCACTCGCAGGACTTTATAAGTTATAAGTAGCTATAGATAGTATAACTATGCCCGCCGGCGTCGAGGGCACGGCCCAGTACCCCAGTAGGGTAGAATGTGGCCGAAAAATAGAATCAGTCAATCATTCACCTGGTCTTCGACCACGATCAATTCCGACATCCTCGTTTGGCCAGCGGGTAAAAGCTACTCAACTGGGCTTCGACCAGCTCAGCCTCCCATCTCCCCGCTTGGACCAGCTGGACCAGCGGGCACAGGCTACGCGCGGGTTTTTCCCCACAAAGGGTTTTCCCCCGCGCAATGTACTTAGCAACCTCTTGGCCGCTGTCGCCGTGGGCACGACCCGAGTACCTAGATATGGTAGATAGTGGTCGAAAAAATATACATAGATACATACATACATATATACATACTTCGACCAGGTCTTTTTAAGTTGATACTAGTTGTAACATCTCGCAACGTCAGTTCTTGTTTTTGTAGGATTTAAAACAAATAGAGCTATACGTGGCGTCAAACTACAACTTTGGGTTTTGTTATCGCTCTATTATGCAACAAAAGCTGATAAAAAAGTAGTTGTTATTGTCTGGGTCAGTAGCACGCTATATATACTAGTCAGCAACTAGTGATAGGCAACAGATTCTACAAATGTTTAGAATCTACCCTTTTTATAAGTATCATCATACTCTAAACGTGGCCTAGGGTTTTAGTTAGAGATCTATTTCTCAAGCTAGCTATGAAAAATATACTATATTGTCATACGACAAACTTGTACAGAATATACTTCTGTAATAAGTAAATATCCGCGTATTATGCTAGCATCTCATAGTTGAAGCGTTAATGATTCTAGTTTCCGGCCGCGTTCTACCCAGACGGGTACTGGGCTGTGCCCGCCGTCGCCGTGGGCACAGCTATCCTAGTAATAACTACTTGCAATTAACCCTTGTGTGCGAGGAAGCGTTAATGTGTTATCAGGGCTTCGTTCATTGTTACCTCATAGTAAATAATCTTTTTACATGTCAGTCTGTTACAGCCCAGGTGCGGACCAGTAGCCGCTTCGCAACAGTGGAGGATGACCATTAAGGTAGCACTGAGCGGAATTTGGAGACGGACCAGTCGCAGGCAAGGAGAGATTGTCGACGCCAAGAACCACCAATCGATCTCTACCCTCGACGATAATAGTGAACTTGGTTTGACGATAGTCTGAAAGGCAGGGCAGGCATGCCATGACTCTCGAATATATATATGTATATAGAGTCGTCCATCCCCAGAAACCATGATGAGGACTCCTTAGTCAGCAATAGAAAGTTGGCCCAACACAACTGGTGACCGCTGTAAACATTCTCGCTGTTGTGTGAGGACCCTAATCCCTCTGGTTCTACACCTGGTTACTACCTTCGAACCCACTGATTGATTCTATTTTTCGGCCACGTTCCACCCTAGTGGGGTACTGGGCCGTGCCCACGACGCCGGCGGGCATAGTTATACTATACTATCTATAGCTACTTACAACTTATAAAGTCCTGCATAAGGGAAAGCCTAATGGCAAAAACCCGCGCGTGGTTTAAAGGAAAGAAAAACGCATATTCTTTACAAAGTATAAAGAAAGAAGGAGAAGTTACCCATTGGGGAAAGCCTGTGGGAAAATAATCTCAAGTAGGTCTACCTCCTCATCTACGTCTTCTTTGGCGGCATGTGAGGAAAAGCGAGGCGGAACTGGGTGGATGGAAATTGGTTCTAGTGTCAGCGGGTCGAGGATCTCCCCATATTGACGAAACTCGTTGACCCGTCTTAGCTATAAATTAAAGGTTTTGTAAAAAGCGCCCGTATCGAGTCGGGCTGTATCTGGATTGCCCCAGCTAGCGATAGGGCACATACACCGAGGTGTCCGCGGCGGACTACCTGACCGCACACACAAATCTTGATGGCCTCCAGGGTGGCCAAAACGTTAATGGTATTCGACAAAGTCTCCATGGCGAGTAACCTATTTAATTCCCTTTGCTCTTGTTGACTGCAAAGAATGTATCTTCTCTCTTCTTGTAATATACGCGCAGGTTTCTGCTAGTGGGTTTTCGCTCTCGCACATGGGTTTATTTGTAAGTAGTTATTGTTAGGATGGCTATGCCCGCCGTCGCCGTGGGCACGGCCCAGTACCCCATCCGGGTCGACACGGCCGAAATAGAATCATCATTATCGTCATCCTGTATCCAACGGCCTAGAATGTGTCTAGGAAGTTCCAAGGAATCTTTTGAATGAGCAGCCATCCCAAAGACAGGAAGCTGGCTTATTCGCTGCCCACCATCGTTGCATATCGAATAGTGGCGCTCGAGGAGGTTTAGGTTGCGTGACTGGTTTGGAGACTAAGCCAGGCTCGTAGGCCGGGCCGGTTTGGTTCCCAGGGCTCCTAGCTAGGCCTGACGCCATGCGCAAGCTGATGTAAACGTAACATTCATTCTATGGCTTTGCGGCGAGTCCAATGGAGATCGGATGGCCGGCAGGGAGACGTTCAGCCCGAGATCGCCACCTGTAGCGCTCCAGACTCCAAATGTGTTCCGGCGGAGTTCCAACCAGCCAGTAGAGCATTTGGGTCTGGATATTACGCCACACCGGGAAGAAAGCGCGTAAGGTCCTGTTAATCACCTGCCCCGCGATCCCGAAAGTTTACTCAGTGTGTGTAGGTACAAGTCTGCCGTTGGACCCGCTCGCAAATCTCAGGTAGAAGAAACGAGGACGGATTCTCAGCATACTAGGTAGATAATTCCTCACCGCAAGGAAGATGGGGCGGGAACTCCACAGCCAGCAATACTGTTGCCTTAGCGAACTGGTAACCGTGGTGGTTTTGAATGCGTGCGAGAACATTCAAACCAAGCTTGAAACCCTCTCAGGAGGGCTAGTAATATCGTCACATATAAACTACTGTCATGCGTGGTGCAAATAGTAATAATGTTATTATCTCTGTACTATTAATACAGAGAATAGCGCATTTTAAGAGATATAGTATTCATAAGTGCTTGCATATAGATCTTTGATATGCAGTCCTAAGGCCTTAACGTATGCGTTAGTATAGCATTATTATCACTTACAGAGAGAGGTGGAATCTAGGGAGTTTTTAATGAGCTATCTTCTCAGGTACGAAAGTACGTTGTTACTGTTATTTAATCCTTTGGTGGTATGAAGATAAACAGGATCGGTAGGTTGTATAGAAGTAACCGTACGCTGCGGATGATACAGAGATATGATAGGTAGTAGTAGTATCACGACCAACGAGGCTCTCTCTGGAAGAGTGGGTCCCGTGCAGCCAACTGATTGGAGCAAAAGGGGAAGCTGTAACCCATCAAACCTAGATGTCCGCCCCCAACAAACTAAACATTAAGAGGCGCTCTTCAACGCCAAGAGACATTGATCTTCAGCACCCAAGAACACCGATCCTCAACGCTGTAGGCCATTTAGGAGGAAGGAGCAAGAAGCCACGATGGTGTATGAGATGTATACAAATTTCGGGCAGGGCCGTTTGGCTCAAGAAGCTCTCCTGTCAGTAATACAGTTGCTTACCAACTGGTAACCATGGCGGCCTCTTGGTCGTGTGAGAACTCCTGTGTCTCAGGCCAACAGCTTGGCATCTCTCACACCCATCTCAGGAAATCTGTCTGGATCGTCACAACTAAACAGATATGTCACGTTTTTACAATCTTCTAAAATGTGTTTGAAGGTAGTAATCAGGGTAGAGAACTAGCGGGACTAGAATTCTTATGCAGTGGGATGGTGGCTCACTGTGGACACCGGTCGTTGGTTAACAACTCTTGCTGACTGAGGTAATCCTTGTCGTAGCTCCGGGGATAGGTAATTTACAGACGTATTCATGCGCAAGAGTCGTTGGTATGCCTCCACTATCCTTAGGATTATCGAAACATCGTCAACCAAGTTCACAATTATTGTCGAAGCAGGGGTCGATTGCTGGTGGTACATGGCATTATAATCTTTCCTTCCGTGGTCCGTCTCCCAGCCCACTTAGGGTAGAACTCATCATCATCATTAGGGCTCCCTTATTTCTCCTTTTTCCAATGTTGTGGGCGCCTGCTGGTTCGCATCCGGGCCGTGACAAAATTGGTCTGCTATAAGAAGTTAGGTGACCAGCCGACTCCCGAGTATCTATCATTAAATATATTGATTCCATTTCACCGTCCTTCTTTCAATATCTACAACTTCAACCGCCGAAGCCATATATATATATATATCATCCTAAACCCGTAAAATTCTTCTAACAGGAGGAAGTATATTATCTGGAGTTAAGAGAGAGTTATGATACATACAGCAGCCGGTCTGGTCCTCCAATGAGGTGAATATCAATTCTTAAAATATATATCGAATATTTGCGATTTCTAGAGGTTTCACTGCGCTAAGCCTTAGAGCGTTAATATTCTAAATAGCATTGTCGCAATTAACAAGGGTTCGATCTGGAAGTGTGGACTCTGTGCAACCAATTGATTGGAGTAAGGGAGTTTTCGTTCATCAAAGCTAGATCTCTTCCCCAACGACCCCACACTTTTGTGTGACAATATAGACAGGCCTCCTAATACGGGTTCATAAGGTATCAGGCAGCTGGACCTGAAAGATAGTGGATATCACACAGTATGAATCATAGCGGCGGTTACCAGTTGTGTACATAACTATTTGTATTGCTGACTAAAGAACTTTTTGGCCAAATACCCTGCCTGGAATCTATCTACATCTGATATACCTTTTGTGACTCCCCTCCTTAAAGGCATAGACCATTGAGGGTCATTATCCTGAAGCGATGAGGAACGCTTCCTGTGCTAGATTGGCCACAACACCCTTCGCTCTAATCGGTTGACTGCACGTACCCACTTTTTCAGAACGAGCCCTTGTTGGTCACGACACATTGGGACGATGATGATGATGATTCTATTTTCGGCCACGTTCTACCCTACTGGGGTACTGGGCCATGCCCACGATGCCGGCGGGTATAAGTTATACTATCTA